GTGTTTGAACCAGCTGAAAGAGATGGATTAAGCCGGCGGAACAGGTCCCCGGCCCCAGCGGAAGAGATGCTTCCTCAGCCTGCTTTTTGACAGCTGGCTTAGTGAAATGGACAAAAACTCTGAGCCTGTCCAGTCTTACCGGTTTATACACGTCTCTGAATTTGATTTCTCTTTGTAGGAAATCAGGCACGGTTCTATAAATCCAGGTGGATATCTACAGAGAGACAGTTCGGCGTTTCAGTTTGGTTTTCAGCACGATGGTGTGAATTATTTGGGGCTGCCGGGCCACTGTGCGCTGGTGCAATCCAAATGAGCCTTTTCACACCTGCGCCTCCCTCTTGGAAAGCGCTACTGTGACGGATTGCCTCGTTGTTGTTTGGAGAGGTTGTTTGTGAGTGTGTGTGTGTGTGTGTTTGCTTGTATGTGTGTGTGTTTGCGCGTTTCACGTGTGTCAAGGCCAGGCACGAGACAGGTAGCAGGGCCCAGAGCAGAGGGAGCCAGGAGGCATGATGGGAGTCAGTGTGGGGTGTAACAGTCTCCCTCAGAGGGGTGCGCCACAACACTACATCACAAATGGACACACACATGTTCTGTTCCAGGAAGGTATATTTCACAGTCAAATGCACAAACGCAACCTGTTTTTTCATCATTTTTGTTGTTACCGATATAAAAATAGAAGAAAAAAAACAGTTAAAAAGGAGCATAAGAAGAATTTAATTAAACACTGTTCCGGTGCCTTCTCACAACAGGGAATTATACAAGCACACACGCTCATGCAATAGCCTGCTGCTTTTAATTACACAAGCACAATTCACCCAATCAAACAGAGAAAAAGGGAGCAATAAAACACACAGTGAGACCGAGAAAAGCTAGGATGCATAAATAAAAGGGAAAAAAAGAATCTGTTTGGGAGAGATGTAGTGACAGGGATGAGCTAGATTACAAAGAAAGTCTCTGAGACGAAGAAGAAAACCTCGTTCCACACAGGGAGCCACGGAGACAAATGGAAAGAGGCAAACAATGAGAGCTCCTCACGCTACAGGCCTCATGTTGCATCATATCAACTCATCATCTGAGCGAGAGCCACAGGAGACATCACCCGCTGACAGTAGTCTGGCTCTTATCAGGACAGTAACAACATCATTCTGCTTAGCAGCAACAGCAACATGCCGAGTCGCTCTGTAGATGCTCAGAGCTGCGATCAGAGAGGATCTGGTGGCAGAAAACCCTCCATCCAGTCTGATAAGAGAAGCGGTATCATGCATTGTCTGCAATAGAACAGCCACAGGGGTTTGAGGGCTTTTATTACCTCCTCGAAACAGCGTGGAATTTAGAGCAAGCAGGTCATTTTAAAGTGTAGATCATGATGAAACATTTGGTTATCAAACAAACGATGATATTAACACTAGAAGTCCCAGAGTGGAGAATTTTTGGTTATGTCAAAGAGCTCCTTAACAGATGGGGTGAAAAAGGGTAAAACATGGAGCTCCAAACACAATCACATCTCCAACACTGGGCAGTAACCAGGTGGCGTCAAAGAGCACATCAGCCCATTTTAATTAAAGACATCATCTCCAAATGAATACAAAGGCTCAAACGAGAGGTTGTCTTGCATTTTGTGTTCAGAACATGTTTCTCATCAGTTTTGGTGATATAAATATTCCAAACTCCATACTTCAAATTCTCCTCAGCTAAGCTGTTATTCTAAGCTTTTGTGGTATTCAGGCCAAACTTCAATATCAATCAGTCCACATCTATGATCCAAATGCACATCTTACTCAATCCCTCTGATCCTGTATAATGAAAATCTCCCTTACACCAACTGCGGATAAATGCAAACCAAATACTCTTATGAAGACATCCGAAAGGCTGCCAAACCTTTTCCCAAAGACAAAAATAAATAAATCTGTGTTCCATGAATTCGTGTTTTTGAATAATCTTGTTAACCAGACTGGTAATCTCACTTTTTATTTGTAAGGATTTATATTTTTTTGCCGTCTTATCTGGAACGCAGACATGGAAGAGCACAATTATGAGAGACAACTCTAATTACATACTTACTGACAAGCAACTGAAGACAGTGTTTGAATGTGTAAGTGGCCTGCATGAAGACACGCTGGCTATGATCATTAAGACAGACATTTTGACTTTCCGTGTGCTCTGTTGTCTATATCATTTGTCGTAAGTGGCACACAGCGAGGTAATTTACGGTGAGGGACAGGAAGGCGTCTCATACATGTCCAGTAGAATAATCCATCACCTCTCCTCACGTCCACTCACAGATCCATCAAGCTAATATGCATCACTGAAGCAGAGAGAGTGGAGTAATGGAGCTATCTAATTATCAGGATAATTATGACTTTCATCATGATGTGTTGTAGGATAAAGCTCATGAATGCTGTGATGCAAAGGAGAAGGGTGCATTATTGGGATTGGTTTGCTTAAGTTTTAAAAAATACAGCCCAAATGACCAGAATTGTGTTCAATCGGGTATGTTTGGTTTGAGGAAGTCGCTCTCTGAGCATAAGAAGGTAATGCAGATGCTTTTCTGAGTGTGAATGTAGTTGGAGACATCATTTGAAAGATCTCAGTCACTCTCCAGATACTCATAATGTTCATTTTTACCACTTAGTTGACAGGCTACAGGCTAGTAGGTCAAGAGAGCTTTTTGAAGAGAGTCATAGTGTATTTCGCAAAGTAAAGTTCTTAACCCCCCCCATTTTTTTCTAAAATCATGCAGCATCATGCTAATGCCTTTGTTTTTGATATTGTGTGTCCTTTTAATTTTTCTGTTAGAACACAGGTTTCTAAACAAAAAAACAAGATCAAACTATCTCTAAAATAACCTGAAAGCTTTGCAGACAGAATGACTTCTGCTCCTCTGCGTAACCATGCCTACCGCAAAGATTTCTGCATGTGAGAGCAGCAGATGAAGCTTTCCCTGGAAGAGGAACCTGAACCCATCTGAGCTGTCCAGTTGAAACAGAAGAAGAAGAATGAAGTTTAAACCATCCCTTCCCCTGATGGTGACTGCAAATATGAGGTTAGACTCCAACACGTCTCTGCCTCAATAAAGGGGAAGACAAAAACTGCAGATAGACAGAGCTTGTAAATGTTAAATGATTTACATGTGCATGTTACTGAGAATGAGAGTCTATATGCTGAATAATTGGCAGTGAGCTACTGAACTAATTATGCTGTCTGTGACATCATCAGCTAAGTTCATCACCTGATTCATATTCGATAATTTAGCTTCGACAATCATTTATACTGCAGCAATATAATTTCCTTCTGGGATTAATGAGAGAACATTACGATGAAGTCGCTACACACTAATTTAATTACATCCACATTAAAGCTACAAAAAAGACAGTGTATTCATAATTTGATATATGATGTCTTGCTGCTGTCTCATACTTCTGTCTAACCGAGTGAGGATTTTAAATCCATAATGACTTCTTATTAGTGAATATTATTATAGGATTATTAGTCACCCCTTTTCTCTACACAGTAATAGATGCGTAAAAACAAAACAAAAAAAAAAACAGATATTGATGGCTGTTTTTTTCCCATTTTAGCTCCTTTTCAGGGTTCATGATCTTGTACACTGAAACCGACCACAGATGACATCATGATGTGGACTTTTCATCCATCTATAAAAAGTTTGAGAAACAGCATCCACCGCTATCAACAACCATCTCCATCAACCCCCACAAACACACCAATATAAACAAAAGCCACGTTCACACATAACAGCACCCCACACACAGTAACAGGAGTAATATGAGGTATAAAATCTCATCGATCAGGAGCGCTCTCCTGGGAGAATTACATCATTGCTAAACAAAGAGCCAATCAGAACTCAGATGAGACTGCCCACTTTGTGACCCCTGCTGCTGTAAGAGCCAGTGTAACAAAGAGGCACATATTACTCCAGCCCCGTAGTGAGGTGACATTTCTATCTTTCACCGAGGTACTGATGTTAACCACCAGCTGTGCAACAATAGTGACTGAATGAAGCCATTCTACAGCTTTAACCCTTTAGAAATGAACAATCTCCAATCCTATTTACACACAAACACTTCATGATTCTGAACAAAGCAAACCTAATCTTCTATACAACACAACTGAGAAGAAAATTGACAATTCTTAAGAACGTCTTGATTTAGGACACCATTTTGGATCTTTTGATTCAATGCTATCTGCTATCAAATTAATCTAAGCTACAAAAAGGTACACAAACAGAAGCATTACTTCATCTTTCATTTTTTACCATTACATACCATACATACATACCATCCAAATCCAAAATAAATTAATTTCTTGTAACTACGGTGAAGGGTACACAGTACCTTTAGGATACATTTGGAGTGGGGTTTGCAGATATGAATGTTTCAGACTGGTCGAGTATTTGCCGTTTCACTTCTACCTTTCTGTCTCTTTCATCTCAGATTTAATATGTACAAACGTTCCAAAGACCTGTAATATTTATGCTGCCCCACCAAAATGGATGTTGTTCTTTGTAAGCACAACGGTCAGTCTATGACATCCATATTGGGAGCTCCAGAAGGGGTGAGGAGACAGACCTCAGAATGTGAGATGAAAAATGCAGCAGAATCAAAGGAATTACATTTTAATCTTTGATTGTTTCACAGTGGTTGTGTTGTGAGGCACAAATAAAAACAACCAAAACCCAATGAAAATGTGCACCATTGACAAAATTTAAGTGAGCGAGTACATGAGGTAATGAGACGAGTCATAAAAGGTTGCAAGCTGCTGAGGTTGACCAAGCTCCAGAACGACAGTGAACAACAACAAAATTACACAGCCAAAACTGACTCAGGTAATATGGACAGATTGTTGGTTTACAGCTATAAGACATTAACAGCCCCACTGCGACTGTGTTCTATGGCACGAATAAACTGTGAGAGCCCTGATGCAAAGGTTCTATGGCGGTGCAGCCAGAGGTGTTTGTGCACTATTTTAATGTGTTAGCATACCTTAATGTAGCCTCCAGTTGAGACCAGAAGAGAGTTGTCCGGGGAGAAGTGCAAATCTGTCACCCAGCCTCCATGGAGTGAATCCATGCCATCTTTATTATCCCGGGAACAAATCCTCAGTAGGGAGCCATCGCTAACACTCCAGAGCTGTGGGGAAAAGGAAGCTATGGATTATAAATCAACTGAAATATGCTGCTTAATAACAAGCAACATACCTGGGTAGGTCATGAATCTATTACAGGGTCCCAAACAAAGACAAGCAGGACCAAAAACCATGCCCTCAAACACTTGCACTTGGGGTGGATTTGGAATCGTCAATTTTCTTATGCATCTATAACTTACTTACTTACACCAATAGATTAAAATGCTACACAGTGCAACGTAATGTAGCCGCTTAGCTCAAAGGCCACCGCAGGGCTTCAACTTTTTATTTGCTGATGCAGCATCCTTTTTGGAGCCAGGGGGAGCAGCGCATGTTGCTCTAAGACACATTTACATTCAGGCTTATGAGGAATGTTTTGCACAAAAGGTTCTGACTGAATGTAGAGATCGAGCTTGGCATACCGAGTGCCTCCTACAGTCAGAATTTTCTTCCTTTTCCTGTTCGCTCCATCAGGATTTCTTACACTCCACCTCCTCTTCAGAAGGAGAACTGCCTCTGCCCATTTGTCTGTCTGCTCTGTGCTCTGAAGTAATCGTGATGTATCAGTCAGCACTTTATCTAAATGAGTTGTGACATGTAATAAGGAGGTAATTCCTGGAAATGAATGCTTTCTTCAGCCATTTTTTTCCCGTGTGTATTGCCCCGCAAATTAGAAAGCTTGAGGCTCCTCGTGTTGTTATGACACCAAAATGCATTTTTTCTTGTTTTCCGTAATTCCATCAAATCAAGTCTTTACTTCCCTCTTTCCTACAGCCCCTCCTGTTTAACAGTTTCAAGCAAAATAAAGGCTGAATGTTGCAAAAAACACACCCGGATTTCTCCATTGTCGTCTCCTGTTGCGAGTCGTCGACCATCCCAGGAGAACCGGCAGCTTCGAACACACTCTTGGTGACCGCGCAGCGTGTAGACACACTGCCAGGATGCACAGTGCCACACCTAGGAGGAAATGTTTTTTCATTACAGAGACTGAACATGAGAAATTAATTAATTAATTACGAAAAGAAATATTTATTTGGTCAGCTGTATTGCAGATTCAGAAAGCAAAGTATGCGCCATCTATGCTGATTATAGAAATCAAAATAGCAGTCTGCTGTTGGGTGATCTCTCTCACACTCCTCTCCCCTGTCGATCTTTCATCCATTGTTCTTTTTTTAAACTCCCTTCCTCTTTCTTTTTCACTATTTCTTCCCCCCATGTGTTCCTTCACTGTCCAGTTCACATCCTGCGTTGCAAAGAAAATAACTTGGCTCATAATTAGACATTTCATTTGGCAGACAACTAACTATGACTGCACACAAAGCTCCATTCATCTGAAGGTCAGGAGAAGAGAATAGAGGGAAAAATGGGGTGGGAAGGATGAGAAAAAGGAGCAGATCAGAACACTCCTTTTTTATTTTTTTTATTTTTTTTATTGGCGCTCCACACAGACACTTTGCCAAGCTTTGTGGTTTGACCTCTAGATAGATGGAAACCCTTGTCTTTGGCGTGTGTGTGTTTGTGTGTGTAGGTGTGTGGGTTTTGAGTTTGCAAATCCCAGATTCGTTCTGGAAAGCAAGGACAATGTGACTGGCTGCTGACCAGCCCAACAATACACATACCTAATTTACAGTCACTGCCTCTTTCACAAAACACACAATCTTTCCCACTACCGACCGTTGGCAGACACCAGGTTGACTGTTGACCAAATTTACATTCCTGTGTGCAACTCTGCAGCAGTGGCTCCAAATCAAGGGACTCAGCTTCTACTGCTGGACCGATTCCTCTTATAACTGACTAAAAAACATCCAGTCACAGGTACAGTTCACTACATTTCCTGGCATGCTGGGCAGTGGATGAAGGGTTGGAAATTATGTAAGAGCTGTGTGTATAAAAAAAAAAAAAAAAAAACATCTCACTCAACCCAAAGTCAGGCCAAAGTCGGGCACAGTGCTGTTGGTAAATGCCGACCTGGCAAAAGCTACATCCTGACGGTGAGGTGGGTCGTTCGTGGTCAGCCGGCCTGCTGGGCTGCTTGGCCAGCAGGACCACAAGTTGCATGTAGGAGGACGGACTAGCCTGTAGGTAACTCACCAGCCCTGAAGCCATCTGCTGCACGCTAATCTCTAAGGTCTCCTGCCTCCTATGAGAAGTTTCAGCTCTTAGTAACATATCACGTGTGTATGCCATTGGTAATCCCTGAGAGAAGATGCTGATGTGTCATAGGTCATGTTGCTACAGGCGGCACAAATAGATATCGCATCTTATGAGTAAGTGCGTATGTGTAAGTGATAACAAACCTTAGCGGTCCTGTCAGCAGAGGCGGTGGCACAGAGACATCCGTCTGGCGAAACATGACAGGACAGAATGGCCCCTGTATGAGCCTCGATGTCCTGCAGTTTCACGCCATTTTCTGTGTCCCACAGCTGCCAGACAGCACAGAAGGGACAGATTATTTACCATTTGATTTCAGTCTTCTGTACAATGTGGTGCGAATGTATGAGCTTCACCTTCAAGGAACCGTCAAAGGACCAGGTCAGCAGGCTGGAGTTGTTCGGGGAGACGGGAAGAAGAGAGAAGCTTCTCACTTGCTCTTTGTGACCCTGGAGCACTTGACACTCACCCGTTTGCCACCTCCACACCTACAACAGGGAGCACAGCGCACCGCCTCTTCAGGCTTATACTTTCATTAAAGGGTTACTTGTTGGACAGTCCAAACATGGACCTGAATGTCAGCGCCTGAGGTTTCCTTAAACATTCAAACAAACCCACGCAAATAACAAGCAGAGAAAGAAAATCTGTAAAACTGCTTGAGTTAAAACTGTGAAAAAGGTTTACGTATCCTCATAATCAAGCTGTTCTCTCATAAACACCAGAGATGCTGAGTGGAGTGCATCCCGCATCCCGTCCATTTGAATCGTCATGTGAACACATTTTATTCAGATTCTCCTGCTATGATGTGCTATGTGTTAACGGCCATTTGTCGAAAAATTCTCGACTTAAATCTCGCCTCTTTCTCCAGAGTTACAATCTATAATGCAGGTGTGCTGGGTTGATGCGGAGGCATCTCTGAAGTTTAAACTTAGGAGCTAAAGTGCCCGCATTGTGCATTCAGTCTGTTAAAACAACAGAACCAGCAAGAAATTTAAGCTTAAAAATGAGCACAGGACAGAATCATCCATCAATCAAACCCCCTCCCGTTATTGGTCTGAAGGTTAAAATCCATCACAGACGAACACCGGTGTCATTCATATTCACTCTGCGTTTGCATTAACATCTAAATACACACTTCCATTTCCTGGCCAGCACATGTCAAACTGAATGAATTTGAATAGTTTCTGAGTAAACCGCGGATGGTGTGAGAATAGTGATGCTGTAGGCAGCAACCACATGAATGCACAATGAGGTGCAGTGCTGTCGGACAAGGAAGGAAGTGCTGCAGTGGACAGGTCTGTGGGCAAGAGGAAGAGATGAAGAAGAAGGGAAAGAAAGAGATGAGCGGGGAGGAGAGGAAAGGGGAAATGAGCAACAGAGCATGAATGGTGGGATAGGCGGAGCATAACAGCCTGCTATTTACACACACATACAGTATTCACACACAAACAGACCGCTGCATGCAGTCAGCACAGGAGCAGGAGGGAGATAAAGAGCTGTAGCCAGAGGCAAAAACATAGAGAAGAAAGGAGAGGAGACAGAATAGAGAAAGAGGAAGAATGGAGAGGTGAAAAGGGCTACAGAGAAGCTGGTAGAGTGTAACAGGTAGGAGAAGGTGAACCCACCACAGAGACCTGAACCACTGAGGGTGAATGATTCACAACAGCCAGTGTTTTTACTCAAGGTGAAGAATGGGGATGGAGAAAGAAGAATAATCAGTCGCATAGAAGAAAAATGGGAGCAGGTTGGGGAAGGAGGTGATAGAATATGCCATCAATTAGGGGGGGAAAGGAGGGGAGGGGTGGATGAGGGACTGAGTGATGAATGTGTGTAGAAGCAATTACCACACAGGAACGTATAAACAATAAGGATAAAAGAAAAGGAGCAACAGATGGAGGAGTCTATCTCACCCTTATGGTGGTGTCCTCAGAGGATGTGATGAGCGTTTGGCCGTTCTGGCTGAACTGGCAGTGAAGCACAGTCTTAGTGTGTCCCGGCAGAGTGGCTAAAAGCTTCCCGGAGGGCACCTCGAACACCTGGAAGGACGAAACAAATAAACATCAACAGCATGAGTACAGTCAACAGAAAGAGCTAAAACTCCAATTACTGAAAAGCAAGGGGTCATTTGTTGTCATAGGATATTTGTAGGGACACCGTGTTGTAACTGCTTATTCACCGAAAATACAAAGTTCCCCCTGAAGACTTTAAAATTGGTCTTAAAAAAGGTTCAACATCCATCTATTGAAATGGGAATGGGTGGATCTTAGAATAAAGTTTGTCTCTTGACCCACAACTTCTGTCCCGATTAAAGGATCTTTCTTTCTTTTTTTCCTTGAAAACTACGTCTGAGCACAAGGAGTTTCCCTATAAAGCGCCCACAAGGTAATATCTAATATTTGAGAGTTGTTTGTGAAGTGTTTTGAGAGTGGAAATGTTTGGTTCAAGGCAGAATGATGAATTAAAAACACAAGCAGGCACACACATTCTTAACACATAAGTATGCAGCAGCCTGAAAATTCCATCTACATGCAGAAAACCCTTAGAGGAAGCACACAGACTCAAATACCAAAAGCCATCATGATCACAGATACAATGAAACACCCAGATTTTTATGGAATTAGACATCGACTTCCAGTGAAAATGTATGACATACCGGATGTGCACACTGGGAAACGGTGATCACAGTGTAAAGTATGCACAATTTACTCATTGAAGAAAACTGTGCAATCTGTGTGTCATTGCTGGTTTAATCTTGTGTTAATAAAAGACAAAAATGTGGATGGGCCGACTTTCCTTGCACAACCTCATTAAAAAATATCTAATCAAAGAAAGCGAGTTCACAGAGATGTCCTGGAGCTGTTTTTTCCTTGTCTGCTTAGCTCAAGCAAACTCTTTACTAACAATAGTAATAACAATAATGATATTTTATAGAAAGCTACAAACAGTTCAGCTGGATTCAATTGTCAAACATCCTAACTTCTTGTTGTGGCCTTGAAGCTTACTACATGGGCCACAATCCCCTTAGAGTCCCACTTCACTGGACCTTTGCCACAGATCACAACGCTGCCCTTTTCCCCCATATTTCTGACTATCTGGAAGATCCATAACTTAATAATGTCCACATCCAGATATGGCATCCAGATATAGTAAATGAGCAAAAGTGATCCTCGCCACAGTGATCAGAGCAATGCACAGCAGCACCTGCGCTTTTGGGAGTTTAAGCAAGTCAAACACGTCTTTGGATTTGAAGATGCACTCAAATATTCAGGCCATGTCTGTCAAGCTTTATGCGAAGTTTCAGTGACTGAGCAATTACACAGCCAACCGAGTATTTCTGGCATGTTGCAAGAAGTAATGTGTCAGTAAGAAAAACATTGTAAATAAATAAGCAAATGGAACAGCCGAGTGATGTCGCGAGAAAAGATGCAAAGCCCCGTTTGTAATTCCACAGGACTGAACAAACCAGTGACTCACTGCAGAGCTGATGTAGAGTTAAAGGGACAAAGAAGAAGACAGAGCTGGCCAGCAAGGAGGCTAATCCCACTGGATGACAAGAGGTATCTGATGTGCACAATAACTACTATAATCAGCCAATTCTATTATTGGCCTTGAAACAGACTTGCAGAATAATACACACACTTACACAGTCACACACAGGAATGAGTTATTGTCCGTTTCTCTGAAATTCAAACACTTTCCCTACTTACAATACCTGCACGCTGCCTGTACAATGAGCTAGTGCCAGCACCAAACCCCTGTAGGAGGTCAACAGTTGTTGGATCCTGCAGCCAACCGTCCTGAGAACCTGACTAACTCTCAGCCCTGACACAATACAGCAACACAAAAACAAACACTTCACTTTTCCAGTCGCGGCCAAACACAACAACTTTTTGTTGTCTGCTACAAAATGTCTTTACAAAGCTGCCAACTTTTCACTTTTGTCTAACAAAGCTAACATCCGAAGGCATTCGGGAGATTATCGCTGATTTGTACAGCGGTTATAAATAAGTCAAGATCAGGGAGGTAAAATGAATGCAATGCAGTTATCCCAGACTCCAGGACTTTGTCACAGGGCACCACCTGGTGTTGCAGAAAAGGACCGCAACAGTGTGAAAGCTCATGAAAAGAAAGAGAACTTCAAAAGCCTTCCAAACATGGCAAGCGATCGTCCCAGCATGAAGAGCAATAAAGCAGCAGAGGCTACAATTAAAGTGACACTAAGAAACAACTTGAGCTGGGGATGGATGAGCTGGAGATAAACTTTTTTAAATGTGAGCGAGTAATGCTGCAAAAATCCATCAGGCTCCTATATCTTATAAAAAGGTCAGAATAGAAAGTAGTGAGTCGAAAAGCCAAAATATTAAAGCCAATTAATAACAGTGAATTTTTGCTTTATTTTGACATAATTCTAGATGAGAGATGAATTACTGACCTGTGGCAGTAAAAGGGTTTTTAAGTGAAGCAAACTGATCAGTAGTATGTTTATGTTTATGTTTATGCATTTGGCAGACGCTTTTATCCAAAGCGACTTCACAATGACAATAAGCTATATAGAGGAGAGGAGAAACACTGATCAGAGTAAGTGGTGAGATAGAGATAGAGGTAGAGGGACTACAGATAGAGGTAGAGGGACTACAGATAGAGGTAGAGGGACTACAATAGAGGTAGAGGGACTACAGTAGTACATAATAAATTAAACAAGGCGCCGCTTGTCAAATTTCCTAGATGGTAAAACTGTTCTTAACTTAGGTCAAAGTAAGGACAGATGATATAAAGATATACAACCCTGCCTGATAACTATAGGTTTTCCCTGGCATGTACCATTCTTAGACACTGAAACTAAACATTTTATAATGGACCTTTTCAGAGGGGAATGTTTTCACTGAAATGTACAGTTACCCTCCAAATTGACAGATGGGGTACATTTCTGCTTAGATCAAAAGAGAACCAGCCTCCAACATAACATAACTTTAATAGACTCGACCCTCAACTGGAAATGGGGAGCTACTTTTTCTGCATTGTGAGGCAGCTGTGATGAGATCCTTTAATGGTACTGTCAGAAAAGCAATTATGTGAAGCGGCCAGTGAAAACAGGGACTACCACTTGTATATGCAGTAAGCTGTCACTGTGGACCTGGTGTTGATGTTTGGATGGGATCTTTTTTTTTTAGGAAGGGGAAAAAAAAGGGTGTTTGTGCGTGCTTGCCCTCGTGAAATTTTTCTTTAAAAGAAAGTAGCAGGATTTTTGCTTTATAGCAGTTGGTATTCTGTTGAATAACTGATTAGTGGATACCTTTGATTATCAGGCATCTGTTTAAAGGCTGTGTGGGCCTTTTACCTGCACGGTGCCGTCCTCTTGGCCCAGGGCCACAGCAAAGGGCTGTCGGCACAAACAGGTACATCGGATCCTGGACGAGCTCTCCTCCGACTGAAACAGCACTGATCCCGTTCTGCCGTCGCGCACCTGACACAAACACATCCCATCTGTTTTATAACGTGACCGGCTGATTTTTGCATACCAGAGTACCGTAACATTCCTCTGCACTTGAGCACTCAAAGGGTGACTGACACCCCTCGCACACCTCTGTTTATCAACTTGCCTGCAGTCGGTTGCAGTGGTCCGCAGCCGACACAATGATGTCCTCACAGCTAAAGAGAACGTCCGAGTCCCTCTTCAGGCAGACGGCTGAAGATGTGTGGACCTTTGCCGTCTCCCATAACTGCAAAACAAGACACAAAAAGGATCTTTTAAGACTGAATAGATCTAAATGTAAATTTCCCAACAAAATGCACCCACTGCATACAAATCCCAAAACCCTGTAAAACGGATCTCAAATGACAAAAGAACAATGTTTAGAGGAACTGGTTGCCACCACAGCGAGAACACACTTTGCTACTTCTTTTATTCTCTGTAGATTTATAATAGTTTATTCAAATAACTAAGCCGCTCTGGTTTATTTAGGGATTGAACACTTTGTTTAACCCTTGTTTGTAAAAGGGCAGGCGGATTTAGAACTAGTTTAATTAACACATTTGGCTCAAAACTTTGTAAAATTTGTAATACAAATAATTTTCGATAAAAGGTTTGAAATACAGTCATTGCAAGTACAGAATTCCCAGCTATTGTTTTGGATTCTCCTTTCGATCAGGTCAGTCTTTGGAGGTCACCTTGCAGCTAAACATGAACAACGTATAATATAGAGGCCTTAAATAGGAGGAAAATGCATGGCTGACATTTAAAAAAATAAAATAAATAAATAAAGCTTTTTCCCCCTTTTTTTTTTACATTACGGCTACATCATCCCGGGGCCATTTTCATTATCCACTGAAAAGTAACATCTGGCAGAGGAACAACAAAGCAAAATTAATAACATTGTGATGCTCTATAACAAAGGGATTTTACCATCTATGGAAGTAATTTGGTCGATGCTGACAGTATCTCTATCGATATGAAATAGAAACATCCCACTTGTATTAAGTCTTACCCTGACAGTCTGGTCATCCGAGCAGGAAAGCAGCTGCGAGCCGTCACAAGAAAACTGCACTCGATGGACCCAACTCAGGTGGCCACTGCAGTCAGCCCTCTTCTTATTGTCTTCCAGATCCCACAGCTCAAAGACAAAAACACACTTTATTTCGAACAGATCCACCACATTTGTTTTTGATTAACTTAAGAAAAATCAGAGCAAAGAAGTCGTGTCATCATTCATTTTTTTCATTTGCTGTGTTATACCTCCACTGCGTAATTTGAGAATGCTATTGCCAGCAAGTTACTGGCAGGACAGGCATGGCAGGACTGCACCGTGCTCAGACGATTCGTCTTGATCTCCAACAACATGTCCGATGTCTCCACTTCAAACACCTGAGGGAAAAAAACATTAACAAAATGACTGATCAAAGTCAGAATCTGGCTCAGGAATCCTCAAAAGTTTTTTTTTTTTTTTTTTTACTGAATGAATGTTCGAAGGTGTAGGAGACACAAATAGGCCGATAGCAGCACAATTGGTTTTGAGGAGGGGTGATACAAATTTATGACCAGGACACACACTTTTCCTACATTGTAAAAGACAGAATGATGCTATATCTCTTCTCTCTGACTCCCTCCAGAAAAATAGAAAAGACTGTTTCTCCAAATTTGAGTCAAAATTAACCACAAGCTCTCTCATATTCCAATACCCACCAGAACAGCATTCCTGGCAGCACAAATGATGCGTTTGCCGTCAGCGGTCCAGGTGCTGCACTTGACGAAGACCTCTTCATCATCACTGTCTGCAAACATGCTCCGCACATCGATTGTTTTCCACTCGTTGGCTGCCGATACCTGAAACAGCTGCACATGTGCAGGAACACATCACAATTGTCAGGGGAGGCACAGCCCGCAAAAAGTATGGAGAAATAAATATTGGCTGATTTGCTAAACAGGAAAGCAGCTGTCCATAAATATGGACATAACAGAAACTGAGCAGCAGTCACCTTAACAGTGCCGTCGTTGGAGGAAGTGGACAAGTAACTGTCATCAGGGGAGAAACAGCAGTGATTGACGGGCTCAAAGTGGCCAAACATGGTGTTCTGAGAAGAAGGCTTGTTGAGATTCCAAAGCTAACGAGAGAGGATAAAATAATGAATGGTTGAGGCAATGAAAAAGAATCAAATGAGAAACTACAGTTACATGGGTAAAAGGAAGACGCACCTTAACATTCAAGAACTTATCATTGGAGCAGGTGGCCAGTAGAAGGCGCCGTGGTGAGTTGGTAAAAACACAATGGTTGACCTGCTCCTCATGCTCCTCCTCAAACACCCTCAGCAGCTTGGCTTGTTCTGCATTCCAAACCTAAAAGTCACATCAAAACTTTTACCACAGAACAAAAGCCATTAATTCTGTCCTATGTTCTAAACAGTCTTTTTCAATCATTTGTTTCTGTGCTAAACGTTATCACAATAAAAGGAACTTTAAATAAATAGAACACCTTGACTTTTCTGTCACAGGAGCAGGTTGCTAGGAGACGATCATCAGGGGAGAATGTACAGCAGAGAACCTCGTCATCATGGGCCTGGATCTCCGTCAGCCTCTCACCTGAGGTAGTTTTAAACACCTGAGCAGAGAAGATCAATGGCAGCTGTTTAAGAACAATCTAGAGATGTAAACATCCTATATGACCAAATCAGAAAAGCAATGAACACAATTTATTCACTTCACAACCTATGAGTAACTAGTTCCCTGAAAGACTGCAATTCTGAGAAAAATTCTGCATGCCTGTCTTGCATGCTTGTACGTTACTTACACGTTAGCTTAATGTATGAACTTGCAATTACCTTGAGAGTCTTGCTAGCTCCGCAGGAGGCGATTTTAGTTCCATCATGAGAAAAGCAGGCAGAGTAAATGGAGCCCTGGTGGGGGTGGATCACCAAGCGGGACAGACTTTCTACACCACTCTTATTTCTGTGATTGAAAAAAAAAATACATACAACACAAATCCCTAGAACAAACAGCAATCTTAAAGCAACATATCTGATTTTATTCTTACAAAACACTCTATCGAAATGCTTCTTTTCATACATTAGGTCAAAGTATAGCTTCCTGTTGTTGGCCCGGCTCTGTGCATGCAGCTTAGCCTGTCTGTAGACCTCAGAGGAGTGTGTCTCTGACAGAGCAAGCTGCAGAACATCAGGGAAAGGACTCTGCTCCAGGTGGTGTCCGTTCAGAGATAGAAACTCCTGGAATTGACTGCGCATCTCACTGTTCTGAGAGGACAGAAAGAAAAACGACAATTCTGTTCTTCTGGATACTCAGTGAAAGTCTCACACAGGCGTGACGATCAGAACCTATTGTTAAATCAGATACACTAAAGCAGAGCAGTGTCCTCTTACTATGCATGTCCTTGCAAACAGGTGTGGGAGTCTTGCATGACTGAGCCACGCTCCTCTTGTTTTGTCTAATAAACCATTTGCCACTAATCAAATCTGCTGCATTGCAATTACGAAAATTGGAAAGGGAATAAGGGACAGTCAAGACACAGAAGGACAATAAACGTATCTCTGTGAATGAGATAATCAGAAACAACTTGGGGAAAGATTTTTAAAACGAGAGAGAGAGAGGGCTGCGTTTTTAATTTAATTTGCAAAGTTATTCTGATAGGTCAAATCACGCAAAGACCACTGAACTTGTAAACCTGCGTGTTACCTCAGCACAAACAATTAAACACTTAAAGCACAGATAACTTCATCATAGCCAAACATTAACACATGCAGCATCCTTTTTTTCCCTTCCATAACCGGTTTCTTGTCTGCTGACCTCTTTGTCCAAAATGGATCCATACTCCACATAGTCATTGATGAGGTGCGCGGGCCCCATTATCTTGGCCTTAGTGCTGACCCAGTGCAATGAGAACATGAGGGAGTAAAGCTCCTAGGAAAAAGGTAATAACAAACCTGAGTGAATACACAGAGACACAGTGAGCAAAGTACAATATATACAGACTGTTGAAATGTATCCCTGAATCACGATTCATGGGCTACACAATGACAATATATCTGCAAAGGCCCAAAAGCTGAGAGATCACTGTGGGATATGAAAGCGATCAAAACGCAGAGCATAATGGTGGATCACAAATGTTTTAAGTTTAATAATTCAAACGATCTGTTCTTTGAAACTTATATAAAGAAGGGTGTACATTTTACCTTAGAGAGGTTGGCTTTTGCCATATGATGGGCCAAAAATCGAATCCAATAAAGGCACTCTCCATTTCCTGAGGTGGGATGCTGATCTCTGTAGTAATGCTGGTACTGACGAACCACTTTCATGTGAAGGCTCTGAACACACAAACACATGTTTGTAAGGAAACACATGCTAATTAGGCTTTGATTTAAGCTATGGTGGGTCTTTCTTCTTAAGTGGGTCACATGTAGACAAACCTCGAGCTGATTTCGGTTCTGCTCCACCAGAAAGTCCAGCTGCAGGTCATGAAGGTAGTACAGATATGGCTTATTGTGGCTGTCCACAAAAAGCAGAGATTTGTTGACAAACTCCTGTAGTATGTCCTCCACCTCCTCTGGCTCCAGATCCCACAAAACAGAAAGCACCTGTGAGGGGAAAACATAAAACTATGAGTGATTTACTTTGTTCAGTTCAAGCAGAGTAAAAATAAGCATGAAAGCAGACTTCTTTACTGAAAGCATTTTTATGGGCAAGTGCATTAAAAAAAATTAAATTAAAATAGATGATCAAAAATATACAATTCATAACCTCCAGCAAACCACTGGTTGCATTGGACTAAATTAAATGAGGCCAAACCTTGGCTGGGATTTTTACGTCTTTTTCCAGCACAGTGAGATCCTTGTAGAGCTCTCGATGTTCATCAGGAAGGACTTCAATACTGGCCGCCATGGCCTGATCCAGGGCATCGTAGTCATAGGAGGACGACTTCCGTATGCGCTTGAACTGTTTCCGCTGCAGCTGGCGGAGGTAGTAATTCCAGCGGTTGGGATTATCTTTGAGCAGAGCACCAATCAGAGACACCACCAGAGGGGAGCCTGACATAAGAAAAAAACATAAATACATTTTGTTTTTTTTAAAGAAAAACATTTGAGTAAAAGCAGCACAACTTAAATATTAGATCTAAACTTGAACATAGGAAAAGCATGCAAACTCATTTAATAAAACTCACAATACAGCTACGTGTTCAAAATACATGGTTGTCATGTTAATACCAACTTAAAATGAACTCAAACTAAGACTTCAGTATGTCAAATGTGAATTTACACACCTTTACATTCTTTAACGAGGCTACGAGCTTCCTCAGGGAGTCCTGTAAGCCTCATGTTTGTGTAAAGAGCCAGAATCTCCAGCGCCTTTTTCTCATCCAGGCCACTTTCAACCTCTACCTCATGTTTCACACCTATAGAAGCATAGCACAAGTGCCGTGAAACACTTTATTGGCTTTACTACCTTTTTATTACAGTAAAAAAATAAAAAGGTGGCAGGTGATCACAAAATGCTGCCTACCGCTGACAGAATCAGCAAGACTTCTGTTTCTGGTGGTCAGAAGAATCCGGCAGTGGATGTCAAAGGTTTTCAGCACCATATTGTCCCAGATGTCATCTAAAATCAGCAGAGATCTTAAGGAAAACACAAAATATCAAATCAGCCACAAGAAAAAAAGAATGTATACAAAAAGGGAACGTTTTAATGAAAAAGTATTCTGATTTAATTCACAGAAATGTCATTGCTGGCTAAGGAGTCCCCCCCCTCTCTACTGTGCTGACTGTTTCACTGTGTCAGAGTTCTGCATCCTGAACAGACAGTATTGGTAATATCTAGCTAACCTTGGATATTTACGCAGCATCAGGAAGCGAAGACGCTCCTTGGCTTCATCCAAAGAGTTGGGCGGCCGATGGAGAGACTGAGAGTCTAGGCTCTGCTCCAGACGAAAACACAATGACTGGATCTTCACCAGCAGGTCTGGCTTGTCCAGCTGGCCAATGGACAGCCAGTGAATCCCTCCAGGAAAACACTCTGTGTGCAAAGGGACAGCGGAAGGATATAAAACAGACAAAGGTCAAGCTGGAAAGATGTGAGAAGCTACAAAGCTGCAATTGTTATAGAAACCAAAAAAATATCATATACTAAATATAAGGAAGCCCATAAAGTGCTATGGTCAAGACAACAATGTTTTTTCCCCATTAAAGCAAAGCCACTGAAATATTATTCACCTTCAATGAGTCCATGGTGTCTCACAGCCTCGGAAGCAAGGACAGACTTGCCTGATCCAGCCATGCCAAAGACTGTCACCCAGCCAGAATCCTTATGGAGATGATAAAGTTTTTCTCGAACTTGGTTCACCAACTCTGGTCTGTTGACAAACACAACGGGTCTTTGTGGCACCCCACCCTCACTAAGCACAGTTTGGACTGTTGGGGGAAAAAAGGGAGACCGATTTAAAAACAATTAATTGCTATGGTGCAAAAAAATAGCCAGAAATATATATATTAAGTTCAAAGATAAGATCAAGTAACTAGTGACTGTTTGTAAGACATTTAATCTATTATCTTTTCAAAGCTAAATATCACCATCCCACAATTTCCCACTTCTCACCATAAGATGTGGAGCTATCAGAAAAGCCCTTATGTCCATTAAATGAGACACATGGCAAGTCATTTTGGAGCAGAATGGCCAGCTCATTATATGCCTCTTTAATCAATGCATTGTAGAAAGAGACGTAGGTAAGATTGTCCTTCCTTAGCAAGAAATCCACCAGGGCTACAGCTTGATCCTTTCTGGTAGGCTGCAGAGGAAAAAAAGATAAAGGTATATGGACCACGTTTTCATTAAAACTCTTTTACGACCCAGTAAAAACCCACGATTCGAAATAATTATATATTGCATTAATATCAAGTTATCCAAAATAGTATTGGCTCTCAAGCTAGACACATTACTCCAACTAGAAACAATCAAGGACCAATGCTTTATAAAAAATAATGTAACATTCAATATACTATGTTACTTAAAATATTACCTAAATGTTGTGTCGAATCATATCTTAAGCTTTGTTTTTCATTGTTGAGAACTCTGATGGTTCAGATTTTCACACAGCATGCACAGAAAATTTAATAACAAGCAATAAAATAAGCTGCAACGGTCACAAGGGAGAGGTGCAAAGGTCAGAGCTGCATTTATCAAAGGTATAGTTGGTAAATTAACACTGAAAATATGTCTGCCAGGTCAGCCTAATATGTGATCAGAATAACAGGTTTTCCTCTTTGTTCGCCCCACCTGAGTCTCAATCTTCTCCTCTTCATCCACAGTCATTACGCCATCACTGATCAGATGGTCCATGATGGAGGCAGGCTTGATGTCCTGTTCCAGTTTTCTGCGAGAGCGCAGCAGACAACTCCGAGCCCTTTCCTCCAGCGCCATCTCCGCACAACAGATCAACCATGCAGATGCTGAAAGTCATTCAAGCCGATGCAGAGAAGAGTACTGACCTGTGGGGGACAGGTTTGTTTTATACTTCCTTCCATGTGATTTCGACTTTTCATAACCTGCTTATTAAGGCCGTGCTAGATTGTATTCTAGCACTGGTGTGTCAGCTCTGTCCTCACGCTGGCTGTCAGATTTGGTTTGGTGTTTGACTGTGGTTGTGTATCTGAACCACTTTGGACTGAGAACTGATATTAGACAGCTAGTAGGTACAGGCAGATTCTGTAGTTTCTTTCACACCAAATATAAACGATTTAATGTTTCTGGTATGCTTTAGCTGAGGCAAAACACAGCAGAAAATTGAGATGTGGTCATTCTTGAAGGGAATTTGAGAGGATAGTTTCTGTGGTAATTAATAGACAGAGAAATCACTGTTAGATTAACCTATGCTAAAGTTACCTGCCAGCTGCAAACTTACATGACAGACAGCCCAAATACAACTACACAACATATTGTGTAGGAAGGGAAGGAACAACTGTAACCGTGTTACACGGTATAAAGAAAAAGAGGAACAGAAGGATAACGAAAGTAAATAGTACAAGCAAAAGGGCAAAAGTTCAAATGAACACCAAATGCAAAAGTGGGCAGACTTTTTGTACCATAGCCGAATTGGTGATGGTTCATTTGCCACTTTTACAAAACCCTATTTGCTAACGTTAAACATAGGGTGGTGCTTCATCTGGGAAAAAAAAAATTATTGCAAAAATGTGTTGTAAGGCACTGCCTGGCATACCCAGTCCAGAGTCCGTCATGTCTCGACAAGTTCATCCTCTCTAACTTAAAAGAAAGACAAACAAAGAAAGCATATTAAAGCGTATACTTACGATTGATTCTATGCTTCTATCAAAGAGGCAGTGTGGTGAAATATATGTTTGTCATGCCAAATCGAGTTTGAAAGAATTACGTGCGTTAAAAGACCAGACAATTTTACACACAGACGATATCACACGCCCAACTTACTGACATGAGCTTCCTGCTTCACGATGAAAACAACTAGTCCGCTCTGAAGAAGCCAATAACATTGAGGCATTCAAACCATGTGACCTGTGAGCTCATGCAATGCTGTAACCAGGCAGACTGGTGCTGCATTCAAAACTACTCGTTAATAATTTAGAATAATAATGTAATAGCGTGTAAATAAAAATATATTTTTGCGCTGTGCCTTTTATTAATTATTCAAGATACCATTTACACACTTGACATCGGAATTTTAATTTTTCGTTTGTGCATTTTTTTTTACATCAAATTGTTGAATGTCGAACTACAACTGTACTAGGTATTTTAACAATTTTCCGAAGTGACCTAAATGTAACAGTGTTGACTGACGACATAAATGAGAGCATGTTGTTCATCCCCAACACAATGCTGTAATGTTGCGCAGATAATGCAGTTGGTTGAGCTTACATACATAAAGCACGTGAAGCAAAGATTTCTCAAAAGAATTCTCAATAACACAAAAAAGGAAGAAAAAAAAGGAAAATGACTTGAAACCTACAAAAAATATTTATTGAAATAAATAAATGTTCTTAGTTAATGGTCTTTTATAAATACCTCTAATCCACCAAGTTTTTCATGGTGATCTATCATTGATGTTATTTTTTTAATTCGTGTATGCTGATTCAAATTATCCTTATGCTTAAGTTAAACATTTCATGAGTTGTGTTGAATATTTTAGTATATTATTGTTAAAATGTTATAATTCATTGTGATAATTTACTGTGATGTAGTTTTCTTTTAAGATCAAAATAGTAACAATAATTACCATATATAATATATATATATATAGTTTTATTAGTTACATGTGGAACACTAAAGAACCAAAGCTTCCCATATTTGAATGTAAACCACCTCTGTGCTCAGCACCTTTATTTTCCCAACATATTCGAAAAGCAAAATACAATACTGTCAAAACTGATGTACCTCATACTGTAACAATAATAATAACAAAATCAACAGAAGTAATTCGCTGTCAGGTAAGTAATAGTACACAAGAAACATAGAACATGTGACAAATATAATAATAACACAAGCAAGAACGTAATGACCAAAAAACTACTCATGCAGTAAGGTTGCATTAGTTTCTCTGTAAAGTCTAAACTAACAAATGATGAGAGATAACACCAAAAGTTTAGTTCTCTGGCTGTCTAAAAAAACAGAAAGATGCAATCGTACTACAACTTATACAAAAGCTTTTTTCTCAAGATTTGCATTAATATCTTTAAATGTGGCATTTGCTTTATGCTATTTCATATAGAACATATACAACTATATCTGTATAAAGTAGTAACCTAAATAGTAATCAAATGGCATTACAAACACTGTGTAAGAATGTGAAATACAACTTAGCTTTTTTTCTAAAAACTATTAGCATCTTATTGTTTTTGCACTGTTTTCCAAAACGACCTATTTTTAGCGACATCTGATAGTGAAAGAATTTTGTCCAGGAGCCATATTGCTTTTATTCATGGGATACTGATGCTTGACTCTTCTCCTGAGGAACGCCAGCAACTGGTGGGTTGCTATTGAATAACAGCTTCTTGATGATGTCCACATAGAACGGTCCATAGACGGTCCTGTTGTAGGTGATCAGGGAGATGAACTTTTTGGCAATCAGTGTGAGTTCAGGCTTAATAGCAGTCAATCCAGCTGGGATCTGTTCAAGTTTAAGTTGGGGTTTGGGGTCAGAGATGAGAGCCATAAAATACTGTTGAACGCGATCCTCTGCAAAGGATGTCAGCAGATAAGATAAAGTTAGACCATTTCCAAAGAGATGTCATTTTTAGCATCAATCTGGAACATTTCTGTGTTTTCATGTCTCTCCTTGTGTGTGTCATAAAGTGAAAAGGAAGACTTTAGGATACACATATCTCAGCAAACAGGCCATTCACTATCTCTTACCAACTAGCATGCGAATGGGATTGTCCTTCTGAGTGATACTACAGATCTGTCCCTTAAGCGTGGCCTGCAGCTCTGGGGTCAGTGCAGGATAGTCTCTCTCTGTCAAAGACTTGTTGAGCTCACAGCAGATCTGAGCACTGATGCCCTCTAGTGACTCTTCTTGGTTAAAGTCCCTATAATGAGAGGGAAATACATCAAGTCAGATTTCAAGGAATGTTTTGTGTAAGGAACACCGTGTAATGATATTTAAATCTTTAAAAATGTATATATAATTTAAAAAACTGACGGTCTATGGATCCCATCCAACAGCACGCTGATCATCGTTTTCAGGCGCTCGGAGAGGGAAGGAAAACCCTGGACAGGCTCTCCAACGGTGCTGTGCACAATGAGCAGCACCTGGTTCACAGCCTGACACTGCTTTAGCTGCCACTGAACCTCCTGCAAACGGGCCTCATCCGTCACCCATGTCTAAAGCAGAACCAAGATCATTTGTAGGTTAATTTCATAAATAAACGAAAACGAAACATCGAAAAAAGGCTGGAAGGCTGCACAAATAAAAAGAATAAGACAAACTCAGAGAAAGTTATTGCAGTGCCTAGATTTTAAATATGTTAATCACAAATAAAGAGGTTTTTTAAAATACACATAATGTCTGAAGAATCCCAACCATAAAACTTCTCTGTTCTTTGACTCTTCAATAATAATTCCGCATGAACTGAACAGAGAAACTTTGACTTTACAACCAAATACCTCGGGTATTGGGTTCTTTGAGTAGTCCCATGTGAGAATGTGGAGATAGGCAGTGTTGAGGAGCTTGAAAGGACCAGGCATGGCTCGCTGTCCATCCCTGCCGTCAATGGTTTTGTCTGAGGGGCCGGTGGCTGACAGCAGCTCCTCCAGCACAGACTGGATCCAGGAGGTGGTGTGGTTTAAACCAGCTGAGGAAGTTTTCCAGCATGTTAGTACAGCAAAGCATTTCAGTTTTCACTTTGTTTTGCATCATTTTGTTTTTTTACTAACTGGGAGTTTTGTCCAAAATGCTCTGAAATGTTTCCCTCTCATATTCAACACAGTTCTTCTGCAGGACAGGCTTCAGGATATCAATGTTATGGGCGACAAGGTCCGCCTTCATTAGGTCCAGCACACGGAATATCTCCCTGTGTACCAAAGGAAAAAAGAGAGAATTTAAAAATACTACATTTCCCTGACAATTTGCGAAAATGGTTGGAACCGAACTCTGAAAAGTTTGTAAATTTCTTAAACCAAATGGTTGTAGCTACTTTAAGACTGTCACGATGCTGTCGGTGCTTTCCCGCAGCTTCTTGATTTCCTCGTCCCTCATTGGAGCACACATCTTGCCCATAGTGTTGACGATGTATAAGACAAGCCCCTGGATGTCCACAGCGTCATTGTCAGCCTGCTGACGGATGAGGTCCATATCCAGCACCTCCATGATCTGGGTCCGCATCCGGTTGGCACCCGGGTTAAGGAATGACAGCAAAATCTGTCCATAGAGGAAAACATTCAATTGACATGGGTGTTTTCCATCAGTACAAGTCACAACAGGGAGAGGATTAGTTTTAAAGTACTTTAAAATACTAATTAGATAATTAAAAAAGTACACCATCTTCAAAATTTCTTATCAAATATTTTCTAAAACAATGTTGGCATCTGATATATTGATGTATCGAGCTGTTAATTACAGACTCTGCCTGCTGACCTCTCTGATCTCCTCCAGTAATTTGATTGCATATCGATACTCAGGTGGGTCATCATTCAGTTCAGCCTCAAGGATGTCCCAAAAGGCCTTGTGGAGATTGTTTCTCACTCCATTCCATAAACTGAAAAAATATAAATAAGCGTATTTGTTAGGATGAACAACCTCATGCATCTATGGGTGTACTGTCATTTGTGGTTCCATCCTCAGAGTGTCCAAATGAAAGAGGAGACTTTTAAAACGTCTTTTGTCTTAATGAGAACGGTTCATATAAAAAAGTGACCTTTTGTACTTCTCTTTTTTTTTAGGTTTTGCATCCATCTGTGTATTAAAGTAGATGACAAGATTAACTCACATGTATTGGTGGAGTTCTATTCAAAGATGAACACCTCGTTTCTTTTTTAAATGCATTTGTGCGACACACAAAAAGCCTGTCAGACATATTACATAATCACCTGATCCCAATTAGTTCAGATGATCACAGTAATTTTGCCCTTTTAAACCGTCTGGATCAAACTGAAAGAGCTGAGAAACAGTCTTTTCATCTATGCTTCTATAGTTTATTCCTCACCATTTGATGAGCTCCTTTTAAATGACATAACCTAAGTCTGTCCCATATTCTGTCACACCTCATGGCACATTAGGTAATGTGCCTCAGCATGAGGCAATAACATTTTAGTATTTAACCCCTACACTTTAATAAATACTAAACCCAGCTATTGTAATGACTGACAATAAAAAAGTCAATTTCAGTCAAGCTCTATTTGAATCATTATGCTATTAATTGTATATTACTTGAATATTGGAATACTAAATAACTAATTATGTAGATTCAAGGTTTCAGCTTTGTTTTCTGTCCCCTGTGTAGATATGATATAGATAATGAGATTTTACAACTGTATTCCTGTACTTTGTACCCACTTATAACATTGACTTTTTCAGGATAACTATAAACTAAAAAAACATGACTTAAGTTTGAGAAAGTGATGACCACTTTCAGAGTATTAGTGAAGCAGTTCAAATATGATAACTGCTGATCCAAATTACTTCAAAGTGAGCACAGCACATCTGCAGATTCCCCCTAATGCATCTGCCAAGTCTGAAGTAGATTCTATAAATCATTGCTGGCAAAACTGAAAACCACACAAACACAGATGCACCGCTTCAAAGACGGTTCCTGAATACCTGTCTTGTGGTCTGCTTTTCAAGTCCTTAAGGATTTGGCTGTTCATGACGATCTCATGTGCAATTTTGAGATTGAACAGCTCTCTTCCAGCCTCCATGACCTCATCTAGAGTTAAGATTTTTGGCGGGCTTGCTGTGGGGAAACAAATATAGAACGAACATTACTAAATCAAGCTAAATGAACAGACATCAGTAATGGTAATCTTGAAGAAACGAAGGATGATGGTAAAAACTTACAAGAGGGGCTGCAGTGCTTGCTGGAGCAGTCGCTATTGAAGCTGTCACGCAAACCGTCCAGGTCACCGGCTGACCTCGTGCTGTCACAGCACTCAGAAGATGACTCCACATCACTGCTTTGGTCCTCCCCGCTAGACGTGGATGTGGGCCGCTCATCATTTAGAGGCATCTTGGATTATAGCTGCACATGAGAAGTTATTAGAAGCTATGTGAATGTTAACAGGCCATCTGACTTTTTTTTTTTTTTTTTTGCTAAGCTTCACTCACAGTTTTCATGTGATCCATATTCGAGGACATTTGACTCTTCAGAAAAAGTTGGTTGGTTGTTGAAAAGCAATTTTTAAAACAAAAATCTTTTGTTTCATCAGTGACAAATCTGATGAAAGATCTTTCACTGTGACTACCTTTTAGGAATAGGAGCACGAAAACAAATGGCATCCTTCTGAGTTAAAAGTGCTTTGTTCCTTGTGCTCTAAAGAGCTCTAAAGTTGTCATGTAATGCCAAACACATTATTTGTTGTTCTGCTGCTGTAACTCAAGAAGAGTCCCAAACACATCTTTACCTTTATGGTACTTAGACTGACTTTCAGAGAGTGTGAGGGGGCACGGTTTTTGTTGCTAAGGCAGCGTTGGAAACACAACACCTGCAAAACACAGCTGGTAGGCGAGTCGCCATAGTAACACAGACAGCAGCTTCCTTGCTCTAAGTTTTAGTATAAACATTTTATTAAACCTCGAGGCTCTGCATGATGTAAGTATCTTAAAAAAACATGATTTATTAACTATTTATAACTGAATATATAGTCTAGAAACAAACAGAGCAGGTTTTTTGCCAAGGTTTAAACAAAATTCTGTGTTTGTCAAGGGACACCGAGGTCGTCTATGAAGATCGTCCATGTCTCTAAGGCAACATGAACAACAAAGGACTTATTGATGGTCAAAGCGATACTGTTACACTTGATTGTGTATTGCGTGTCTCGCACAAAAACAAGACAGAATAACAAAAAGGGAATTGTGCACATCATCTTTATAGTCATATGATCTCAAGCTCTATCGCCATACTCGGATGGATGAATTCTGTTACCATTGTAACGCCTGCCATACAAGACATTTGCCATTCTAATATTACTTCATGCATTCAGTACTGATAGGATGACCCTTATATGTTCCTGCCCCCAGGCTCAGTTATCTGTTGCCAAAAATGAACACACACTCAGCTCCTGCAGTTTAAAGATAGCTCAAGGGTGAGAATTAAGGGTGGGGGGAGTGTGCGACTAATGTGTGCTTCTGCTATGTCAGCAACTACATCATCTGCTAGACTTGACAGCTAGGTCAAACCAATTCAATGAGGGAGTTTTCAGAGACAATATAGAGGAATATTTCCAATATCTGGTCCTCAACGTACATAGCCCTGCATGTTTATCATCTGTCCTTGGTCGAAAATACCTTATTCAAAAATGGGACAGTTCTTTGGCTCTTAAAGCTCTGCAGAAGCTAAATGAATATCCATTCAGTTGGTAATGGAGCAACAAAACATGGAAATCATGTAGGACTGTGTATTTTGAAGACCAGGGCAGGAGGATACTGATCTGAAGGGATTAGTGCTGTAGTTTATAAAACTGATTACAGATTAGGTGGGCTCTGTTGTGTGCTACATCAGTATCACAAAGCCTCTTTAAGGTTATTGTGAGGAAACCAGGGTACGACTATGCTATAACAAAATAACAATGCAAATCTAAGAAGATTACACATATAACAGCTAGTTTTGTGCCAAGGTTTAAACAAAAACCTGTGTTTGTCAAGGTGAAAGGGACACCAAGGTGGACTATGAAGGGCCAGAGCCGCCTCCACCTCCTGAGGGTGCTGATGTCCTTTGGAGTGAGCTGCCCCCTTTTTAAAACCTTCTATGACTCTGTGGTGGCCTCAGCCCTCCTCTACGCTGTCGTCTGCCGGGCCCCAGGCAGCGCAGAGCGGGACAGAAAGAGGCTGAATAAGCTGGTGAGAAGGGCCACTTCTGTCCTGGGCTGCACTCTGGACTCGGTGGAGGAAGCGGCGGAGAGAAGGTTGTTGTCCAAGCTTACATCCATCATGGACAACACCTTTCACCCGCTGCACCAGACCGTGAATGAGCTGAGCAGCTCCTTTAGTGAAAGACTTATAAACCCTGTACGTAAAAAGGAGCGCTACCGTGGGTCATTCATCCCTGCTGCCATCAGACCTCATAATGCTGCGCTATAATTTATATATATATACACTATAATCTCCTTCTTTTGATTAGAATAGTGAATTTTTCCACTGTGAGATCAATAAAGTCTATCTTTTATCTTTATCTTTAAAGAAATACTTCTACAATGTAGATCTAATTTCTCATTATGCCCATTTCAAAGGCTTCATTCGGTTAAAATAACCAGTGCACCCACAAAGTCAGTCCTGGATGATCCAGATTTGACTGCAGTACGATGTAAACAAAGCAGTGGATCAGGAAGGCGGGGCTATCTACATGGAAAGCCTACTTATTGGCTTGTTGGCCCGTCAATCACCTCTCGAAGGAAAGCGTTTGGTTACATAGCTTTGCACATGGATAAAAAAGAACTACCCATACACGCGTAAGAAGTGGGTACACGTGATCAAAGCTGATCTACCAAAACAAGCAATCCGTGTACATTGAAAATAACACATCTAGTATTTATCATGGCAGAATATCATGTCTCCCATGTTGCTCGACGCCACAATCGGTTGGAATGAATACCTTTCCCCCCAACTTCTGCAAAGCTCAAAAAGCTAAAAGCTGACAGATGTATTTATTGGTTTGCTAGAGCAGCCAAAACAAGACAAACCTGAATGCAGTGTGCCTTGAGGAGAGGAAAGGGTTGTGAAACGCTGGCCTATTTCATATCGCTCTCTGACAGATGCTTCCGTTACGACATGTGATTGTCTTTTTTATTCTTTTATCTTTTTTTATAAATACCTTAGTTATACAACTGAATATAAATATTGACTTTTGACACATACTGCCCTAACGTTCGAGACAGTACTTCTATCTCCGACATTTCCGCTCTACAACAAAGCAAGACTCAACGTTAAAGTTTGTAGAAAAGGCACTTAATCAGATATATGTTCAAACAAACTATGTTTACCTGTTTTAAGTCTCCGAAAACGGAGACTAGGACCGAAACAAGTACCGTTCTGTACACAGTCCCAGCGTCCGAAGCACTCTGCTCTACTCGCCGTTTAAAGGTCCTTCTCCTCTCCAACACAAGACAGGCGGGCAATACCAATTTTTACCGTAAGAGATTTAAATTAGAAAGCAATGTAAAAACTACTTTTACGACCAAATATATTTCTGAAATGTCATATAATTTACAATCGAGTATAGTGTTAAAAATAATAAAACTTACCGGAAATGTTTCAGTCAACATAACGATCTAGACGGAATTGCTCTGAGTTAAAATGGTACGTTCCGACAGATCCATTTTCACTTGGGATGTTTTCGTTTACAGATGTGACATAAAGAGCAATTTTTAGTCGGTGTTAGGAGCATGCTTTTTCTGTGGGAAATTTTTAAGAATTATGACATTGATTTGTCAGTTTAACATACTTAATTTGGTTTCTAGCATTTTCTACCCAATAGTTGTGCGAATTTTAAAAAATCAATTAAACACTAATTAGTTATATTTTCTTTAGAATATCATTAGTAACAAGTGGTATTTTGCTATGGCAGTTTTTAGGAAAACAAATGCACATAAAAATAAAATATGCAATGGTTCAATCTTTCCAGGAGGTGGTAGTGTTTACCCTCCCTTTGAAGGCGAAAGAGACAGATCCTGCATAAATATTTTCTCACTGGCTCATTCTGAAAAATATACAGACATCTGAATCTCTGTCAGACACCCAGCAATATTTAGATTTGTGATAATAACTTTAATACCTAGTTATACCTACCCAAAATTATACCCGTGTAACTCTCAATACGCTGTGAAGATCTTCTTTACAGGCCCCCAAAAAATATTGAAGGCTTACAGCATTCTGCTCTCACATTCTTAACAAATGTCTAATATATTTCCAGTGGAAGTAGGTGGACATTAAAATATATCTCAATTTTGGTCGTCTGATATTTATTGTGAAGAATTGGGAAAATGCAGCTCACCTATTAAAATAGACAAAACAACAAAACATCAACTAATTTCTAGGCGGGCCTTTTCGTGTTTAATCAACCGGTGGGAGAAATACTTCTTCCGGCCAGCTGGAGGCGACATTGAGCCTTCTCTGCCTCTGCCTCTGCCTCTCTCTTGGGAGAAGAGCAAGAGACCGAGGACTACGTCACTCAGGATGGCGGTTGATTTGACTCCACGGTTTCGAAGGTTGAACAGCCAAACCAGAAGCTTTCGTGAAAATATTCAGCATGGTAAGACTTGGCTCGATATTATTAAGGAGTTTCATGCTCTTTTATATCCATTCATCAGTTGTATCTATTCTACAAAAATAACTACAGCTTTGTACTTTGTTGATCATCGGTGATTCAGTCTTAAAAACTGAACGACAGCATTTTTTTTTTTGTTTGGCGTAGATCGATCAAATATTTGTTCATATTATTGAAAAATCAAGCTTCAGTAACTCTCTATTGGATAAAGTATATACGTAAAAGTAACAAAACCATAAATCGACATATATTGATAAAATATTATTTCTATACAAATATTCTTACAACTTGTAGTCTGTCTGCTTCAGATGTAATTAGTAATGTATAGCATGTTTATAAGTGTATTGAATGAGGGTGATTTCTTTACTCAAGTTTATGTAAACTAGTTTAACTTTCTTCATTCAATCTTTTAACTAGTCTTTTTTTAACATCCTATAGGTTTTTCAGGGCCCTTTGGAGCCACCCAGCTGTGGCACAACATCATTCATGCCTTGCAGAGTCAGGTTGAGGTGCGTCGCTGCAGGAGACACCTCCGTCTCCATGCTGAATGCTTCACGGGTTCAGATGCCGTGGACGCTGTACTCAGTTATCTGATGCAGAATGTGGTGTTTAGCACAAGTGAAGTGTCTCGCCTTAAAGCTGCTAGACTCTGCCAGGCGCTGATGGAGGCCAAGGTGTTTGAGCCAGTTGGCACGAGGCTCTTTCGCAGAGACAAGGAGGTGACCTTTGAAGACAGCAGCTGCAGCCTTTATCGTTTTCTGGAATATAAAGTAATGTACGAGTCTCCAATGAAGGGGGGCGGTGTTGAAACAGAAAACAGACCACCAGAAGAACAGGTGACAAAAAGAAAGAAGAGCTCAAGGTTAGTCTAGTATAAGATCCCCTCGGTTTTGTTCATTTTCTTACATTTAAAAAACAAAGAAATAAACATATATAAATAATATTTGATTTTACCAAATAAAAGTTTAACTGTTTTGACTTTGTGTTGTAACTTTTCACACATGAAATGCTTATTGATTCTGCTTGTTGTTCGTCAAGGCTAAATGAACTGAGGACAATATCCAATCCTCTTGCCATTGGACCATCGGACAGGAGAGTTGAAAGACTTCTGAAAACCATCAATCTGCAACCATCACTGTCTGCATCTCTGAATGCAGCCACCACAACGCCTGGCTTCCTGTCTAAAGCTGGTAATAAGCTAATTCAAAGTCTCTGGCAGAATTATTCAACACCTATTGCGCAGCGAAGGTCACAGAATCATTCTGTTTGTTTGGGCTCTGTGCAAGAGAACACATTTTTTTAATGTAAGATTGACATATATCATTCGCTGATATTGTTCTTCTTTGTTATCTTTCCTCCTCCTTAGTGGTGGATAGGGTTTGGAAGCAGCAGACCCTGTTGCAGATCCTGCAGATTATAGAGTTGCCCATGTTGGACTGCATCCTAACTTCTCCTGAACGGGTTCCGTCTCAGGCCTGTAGACATCTGCCAGCCAACCAGGACTTGGTTATCTCTAACGCGTGCCTGGAAAGAGAGCTGCCTGACACCCTCAACATACCCCAGTCAGTGTTATGATAAACACCTCCATTCATTTTTTCCATCCATCCAGCACTATCCATTTTCACACAATGAATAGAAGCAGATTTTATTGGAGATATTTTTCCAAATTACAGAACTTCTTGCAGAAGATAAAACTCTTCACTACTACAGCAACAGTATCATAATATTTTGGTCTATTTCATTACTCCCCCAGGTTAGATGCATGGCTGTCGACTGCCGCCGACCTCTTGGAGCTCTTCCCTGATCAGCTGATAGTAGCCGCAGGCGAACAGCTCAGCCAGCAGTGCTCAGATGTCTCTTTAGAACTAGGCAACGCTGAGCAGATGACCAATCAGAAGAGACTGCTCTTTGACACTATTGCCAAGTACTATAGTGGACAGGAAAAAGCTCCACTCCTTTCAGGGCGCTACCTTGATATACATGCTGCTATTCTCAATTTACTGGGTGAGATTTGATAACTCAGGATTAAGATTCTTTTCATAAAATTCTACCCTTTTCTCTGATTGAGAATATCCACCACCTTGGCTCTGTTTATTTCCAGATGATGGAAAGAATCAAGAGGCTATTAAAGCATCCCAGCTATGCTTGCGCCTACTGGAGACGAGCATGAGAGATGAACTACGGAGACTGCTGGCCTTCATGTCAACAGCCACTCAGCCAGATGCCTGCCGTCTGCAGAAGCAGGTAGCCCCCCCCCCCCCAAGCCAAGCCAAGCCAAGCCAAGCCAGGCCAAGCTGCCAGTCTCACATTTTTGCAATATTTTCAATAAATGTTTATTTAGTTTTTTTTCAAATTTGTTTTTAGTTGTGTCCTCAGTGGCTGATCTAGAAGGATCTGTGTGTTTTTGTGCTTTTTTTCAGACTGACAACAGGACCTTAATCTGCCGCACTTTTCAGAGAGCTCTTGTTCAGAGCCATGAGCTGACACGACAGCAGGCGGAAACTCTGGTCCTCTTTCTAGTGGACAATTACACCGAGCTCTTCAAGGTACACTTCTGTCCTCCCAGGATTGTTTTAAAATTTCATTTTGCTGTTCACATTGGTATTGAATGGTGTGCAACATCAGGCTGAACACTGTAGACCTCCTGGACTATGATTCACAGTTTTCAATGTTTGCGTTTCCTCTTTTTTTCCTGCTATGGTGATAGACTCCTACAACCCTTATTGAAGCTGTGAGGAGATCATTGAGGACTTTGCAGCAGGGCAAAGACCCAGACGCCATTGCGAGTAGGTTTTATCAACTTCAGCAAATTATCCACACACAATCGCTCTTAGCATTATTATTACATAAATCGGGACTTTCTAATGCCACCTTGAGCTGTATCACAAAGTTAGAACTTATTATCTAAATCATTGTTTCCACTTGGAGGCGTCCACTCTCCAGATTCAGACCAGCGTTTTTTTCTGAAATCTGGGAAATCCTCTCTCTTGTGTGTTGCAGCCTTTACGTTCTGCCAGCAGGTGACTCCGCAGGAGTACGAGGACCAGCGAGAGGCCACCACGCTGCAAAGCCTCAAACAGCTTCTTTGTCATATTTCAGGAAATAAGAGCATGCCCGCCAAAGACAAGAGGAAGCTGCTCAAGGAGTTTGAAAAACATCACCCTGTGGTGTTCCTCCAGTATTTTTCCAGTACTTTCTGTGACTGAGTGGCTATTATTGAATTCACAGATGCACTTCAAAGCTTGCAGCTGCAGCATTGGGGGAGATAAAAAAAATCTGGGGTCTAATGAAACATGCTATGTTGAGGAATACATTCAGATCTACTTAAAATCTCTAAATCCTGTGAAACCTCAAAAAGGTAATTACTTGTTAGTGAAGTAGCTATCAACACCTTTAGAACCTCATGCACACTAATATGGAGTCTTTTTGATTAAGGCATCAATTCAGCAACACATGTCAAAGATTTTGCACAAGGTTGAAAACTTTTTATTATACAAACCTTTCTCCAATGTTCCTTAAGGGTAACTGGAAAAAAAGCTAATTTACTTTAGATTTGAATGATAAGGGAACTTTGTGTTGTTTATTTCTTCTTCCACGTTGTAGACTACTGACAGTTTGTTGTAAAAAATTAACGGTAGTGAAATAGTGCCTTGTCTGTGCCATGTTCCTGTGGCATTACTGTACAAAAAGAGGTAATAATAAGGTGGTAAAGCAGATAATGAGCAGTTTGTGTAAATGATCAGTTACCTTCTTCCAGGCTCTATTTGGATATAATTAACGTAGAAAGATGTGGAGGTTTGTTATTGTGGTTGAGCTTGCATACTGCACACTGATAAAACAACTGCTGTTTTCCTGTCTCGCTTTCCTGCATTCAAGGATAAGCACTGGTTTAGATAAACTCGGTCAAACTCATTTGACTAAGGTTTAATGCTTAAATCACATTTTGTGGGGTGATCCTTCACCTTAGATCTAATTTAGAAATTGTAGGTCTAATGTAGCTCAGGGTAACACTGTACATTTTAATAATTTTGGTTTTTACTTCAGCTAGCAATACTAATAGAACATTTTTAATTGTAATTCTTTAGGATTTTACTTGAAAGTAGACCTTATGTTTTAATTTTTTTTTCAGGCTACTAATTTATTTTTGGTACCTCAAATTGTGGCTCTGTCATGGTCACGAAGCCATGGCCATAAAAACTCATAATTAGGACTTTTCTCATAATTATTGTTGATTACAAGCACTGAAATCATGGGGAAGAATGCACTTTATGATGGTGAACCATGAGCAATACGTGTAATAAATACTACAACCAAGGTCTTGTTATGATGATTTCATGCATGTTTCTGCAGTCAGTCCTTTGAATTTGTCACACAACATGGACAAAATTTGTCTGTTCAAATATATGGACAGAACATCATCTGTAATTGTGTATAATTTTGTACCTGTTACAGTGGTTCGAAAAGAAACTTCTTTAAAAAAATATTATAAATGAGATGACGTAGGCGCGCCTGACTCGACAAGAAACCCGGAAGTAGGAGTTGAGGCTCACTAGCATTCTAAGCTAACTCATTTCGTATGCTACTGGAAGACATGGGGGCTGTGCTTTACAGCCATTACTGACAGCTGTGGTACCGACAGTTTACATACAACAAACATCAACAACTAGAGCCCTCTTTGTATTAAGGTAAGGCGTTTGATGATTTTAAAATATATATTTTTTTAATAAAGGGATCGGTCTTTTTTAATGGAACGTCGCTGTTTACTTACGCATAGCTGGCTAGTTAGCTTGGGTAGGTGACTACAATGATCTTCTAATAAAATAGCCTCCCACTTCCACTAGTATTTCATCACAATCATGTCAGCTGCATAGACAGATAACGAGTTAAATTGATATTTTAAGTGGTTAAGTAACTGGTATTTATGCGGTCAATGCTGACCAAGTTTGGATGTTTGCGCTCCGGCTAAACAGGACGGTTAACCTGGCTACCATTAACACATTTGGCCATCAGGTTAGCAAGTCAAGTTAAACGACAAATGTAACACTTAATGGTTGGAAAGTTATGCTAAAAACGTCTTGCGCATATTACAACAATTCCTAACGTTGTTGTTGTTAACCTGTTGGTGATACCTTTTGTAGACTCGTAGGGCAAACAAGACAACGTCTTCAGCTGGGAAGGTAGAGAGAAGGACAAATGCAGGTGGATTTGGTGGGCGTGTTGTCCTAAAATCTGTCTTCACCGGTTAAACATCAATCTTGAGATGTAAAACTAGTAAATCAGGCACCTGACAGACAGGAATCTGCACCTCAGCATATGAATATTAAAACCAGCTGTCAGTAACTGTCACAGCACTTGGGTCGATACGATTAAGTAGTTTGTTTTGTCTCCACTGATTGCTTTTTGTTAGGTGCTTAGTTATTGAAACATCACTATTTAACTAAAATAAACAAAGGCATTGGATGAGGCTGAAACAGTTATGCACCATTAGTATAAAGCCAAAAGTGAGATACACGTTTTATTTTGTTATGATACATAATCTTGACCTGCCAGCATGATCTCGATTGACATCAATAGTAATTTGAGTGTTTTGTTTAATATGTCTTTGCTGAACAGTACATAAAATTAGATATCAAATGTCTACAGCATGTCGGGCTATTTTAAATAAACATAAACATTAAATTAAACATACCAAAACCATTAATAGAATTGTACACAAAAATAATAAACACTTTATTATCAGCAGTCGTTTATTTTCTTCTTTCTTTAATTTGCCACTGACCAGCATTCTTTTAAATCACTTTGAAGTACATTCTCAGTGTGGTCTGGCTAAAAGTGCTCGGAGTCATTTTATAGCTTATTCTTGTTTAGTGTCTTTATAATCGTACTGAAAGGATGAATGTCAACACTTTGATATGAACATTTTCATGCAGGTCCATTAGAGTGCTTGTCAAATGGGTTGAGAGTGTCTCTTTAAATGATTGTTAAAACTCTTGTGTTGTGTTTTTTATTTTTTTTTACTGACTCTGACTCCCCTCTGGTGGTCTTTCTTCTATCAATTTCAATAGCTGTCAGGTAAACCCTGAACATGGAGTCCATGCTGAACAAGCTGAAAAGCACCGTCACCAAGGTGACAGCTGATGTCACCAGTGCCGTAATGGGTAACCCAGTGACACGGGAGTTTGAAGTTGGGCGTCATATCGCAAGTGGAGGTCCCGGATTATGTTGGAGGATCTATAATGGCACCAAAAAGTCCACCAAACAGGTGTGTGTGTGTTTGTTTAACATCCCGCAGCCCAGACGGTCTTCCAGGTTTCCATTTGAAATGAACAAATGAATGATTTACAGTCCTCATGCTGTCGTCGAGGTCACCTCAGAACACTCTGGAATAGCGCTAGGACAGGGCTAATCTCTGCTCCGTCTTGTTTGTCTGTGACTCTTCAGGAAGTTGCAGTGTTTGTGTTTGATAAGAAGGTGATCGACAAGTATCAGAAATTCGATAAGGACCAGATCGTAGACTCGCTGAAAAGAGGGGTACAGCAGCTGACCAGACTGCGTCACCCCCGCCTCCTAACGGTGCAGCATCCCCTGGAAGAATCGCGGTGATTAACACACACGCACACACACACACACACACACACACACACACACACACACACAGTTGCACGGGTTGACACAGAGTAACAACGACATTCTGGATGACTCACGGCTCCACGAAAAGCATTTGATTTTTGGGGAAGTAAATGCATCTGTCTTCCCGTCTTTGTGTGCATATTTGAACAAAACTAATCTTAACCCATTTCGGGGCAAATTTAAGGCAGTAGCTGTCTTTTCTTTTTTCTTTTGTACACCACAATTCTTTACCTCTTTACCTCCAAAACTGATAAACTTGAATACACTCTTAAGTCGGTCAGTGTCTTTGCTCATGGCTTTGTCTCTGCCCATTCAGGGAAAAAACAGAAATAACTAAATGATTTTAAAAGACCCTCTGTTCCATAATCTGTCCCACAGAGACTGCCTGGCATTCTGCACAGAGCCGGTGTTTGCCAGTCTTTCCAATGTATTGGGCCAGTGGGACAACTTGCCCAGTCCTGTGCCCAAGGACATCAAAGAGTACAAACTCTATGATGTGGAGACCAAGTATGGCTTGCTACAGGTGAGAGTGTATAAGACTGCAGGAGGATTGCAGCTAAAGATTTAATTAATTTATTATTTCATTTATTTGTTTGTTTGCATAATGTCAGATAATTAGAAGAAGCCAATTGCAATTTGCCTCAGATTATCCGGCCCCAAACCCCAAATAGTTCTCAGTCCTGGGCAGTAAACTCTTTTACCGTCATTGCAGTCACATTTTACTGAATGAGAGCAGCTTGTCTTTACATAGTGCACACAACTTGTTCAGCAGGTTTTGGAATAATGCATTTTAAATGCATTCATATACACGCTCGTCTCAAAGTCAGTGGAACCAGAGTTCTAAGCCTCGAATGCTGTTGTTTGGGAGGCCTTTGTGCTGACAAAATGTCGTATGGACTGCTTTAAATGACACACCCCATGTAAAAGTTACTGTGCCATGATATAGATTAAGTTCAATAGGCACAATTGCATTATAAAGCAGGTGATCATATTTAACCCTTTAAAGCGTGATCCAAAAATAAAACAAAACAGAAAATACCTTTTTTTTGGTTTGAATTCCTTATTTGGCCTTTTAACAAAATATGTAAAAATAAAAAACAGAAATACATTTTTTATATTAATAATTTATTACTATGCAATAAGTCAAGCTTATTTTTTGTGTAGTCTTCTGCCCCCTGTTATCAGGTGTATCTGATTGTGTACAATAGGATTTTGAGCGAAGTTTTTACCATTAAATTATGCAAAAGGTGTCAGACGCAAAACATTTCAGAAACCTTATGTATCAAATATGATACATTTGGCATTACAGGGATATTATTATTTTTTTTTTTTTTCATTTTGATGTTTCTCTCTCTTTTTCAGATCTCGGAGGGTCTGTCTTTTCTTCACAGCGGGGTTAAGATGGTCCATGGCAACCTGTGTCTGGAGAATATCATCCTCAACAAGAGTGGAGCCTGGAAGATCATGGGCTTTGACTTCAGCATCTCCTCTCAGAACCCCACCGATTCTGAGGTGTGCGCGTGGTTTCCGTCATACGTTCATTTTGTTGTGCTCTCCACCTTCACATCAGTCTCTTCTCTGATTTGACCTGCAGCCTAAATACACCTGTAAAGAGTGGGACCCCAACCTTCCTCCTCTCTGCCTCCCGAACCCCGAGTACCTGGCCCCTGAGTACATACTGTCGGTCAGCTGCGATGCCGCTTCTGACATGTACTCTCTTGGTGTGGTCATGCATGCGGTGTTCAACGAGGGCAAGCCCGTGTTCCAAGTGAACAAACACGACATTTTTAAGAGCTTCAGCCGGCAGTTGGACCAGGTGAGCGGACGCCTGGCTCGTGTGAAAGGCGATAGTTTGAGATAACATCCCACTAACATGCTGATACTCTACAACTGCAGCTGAGCAGCATGAGTCCTGCGCTGCTAAACAAGATTCCTGAAGAAGTTCGGGAGCATGTCAAGATGCTGCTGAGTGTCACGCCAAACGTGCGTCCCGACGCAGACCAGATGACAAAGGTGCTCATCGTCATCGGGGGAACGCTCGCTGTCTGCGTCTCACTGTCTGCGCTGTTCAAACCCAGGGGCTGACGCGTCTGCTGTGTTTTCCTGCCGTGCTCAGATCCCCTTTTTTGACGACGTCGGCGCGGTTACTCTGCAGTACTTTGACTCCCTCTTCCAGAGGGACAACCTACAGAAGTCCCAGTTCTACAAAGGCCTTCCCAAAGTGCTGCCCAAGCTACCAAAGGTAAACGTTTGATTCTAAAGTGCAGTGTTAACACAGGGAGAACTAGTAGGGGTTGTTCACAAAGAAAAAAACTGGTCGATTCCAGATTTGTTTACAGTGCAGGTCTTGCCATTTTCAGATACTCTGTGATTTCCTTTTGGCTGATTAGTTTAGTGATGTCACGATTATGTTGTTTTCTGGTCCTCAAACCCGTCCTCTTTTCTCTTCTCGCAGAGAGTGGTGGTCTATCGCATCTTGCCAGCGTTGACTTCTGAGTTTGTCAACCCTGACATGGTTCCCTTTGTTTTGCCCAATGTGCTACTGATTGCAGAGGAATGCACCAAGGAGGAGTATGTTCGCCTCATTCTGCCCGACCTCAGCCCTGTTTTCAAACAGCAGGAGCCCATCCAGGTAGAAACTCTACACACACAGCAGACCGTCTCTGACATGTCAAGCTCTGTGCATGTTCGGCCATTACAGCAACGGTCTAAGAATTGTGGCCTGTGTTAAGGTTTTGACACTGACTAAAGGGCATGGTGTATAAGTTTGCTTTTGACTTGGTTTTTACACTTGAAGTCCTCAAGTCCTCTCTCTTTTCTTTCCATGCCTCTTCAGGCTAGTAACATGGTGAGTGGCCTCTCTGCCATGAATGTGCTAATATCTGTGTTGTGTTGTTGGTACAATTCAAAGCTGCTCTAAAACCACTAAAACCTTTGTCTTAGCACACTTACTCTTACTACCACCGCCCTTTCTTTTAAGATAAGCCAGTGTTCAGTCTTCTATTGCTAATCGCATTTCTGTGCTGTGCAGATCCTGCTCATATTCCTGCAAAAGATGGACCTACTTCTGACAAAGACCCCAGCAGAGGACATTAAGAACAGTGTGCTGCCCATGGTCTACAGGGCCCTGGAGGCTCCCTCAGTCCAGATCCAGGTATGGAAGGGGATGCTGGAATGGAGACTGCACATGAGTTTCTCCTGATGGCAGAAAGCATGAACTGTGAAACAACACAAAATAAAGTAGTTTTAGCTCTCTTTACACCATCTGTTTGAGATTCAAACATTCTGAGAATAGTTGACAGGTTTTTTTCTGCTTACTGCATCTGTGAGTGCTTTTAGTATCCTACACAGAAAACACAGTTCCTAATGTTTTCACCGGCTTGTTTTCTCAGTTCTTTTTTTTATTTTTATCTTGAGCGCACACTGAGACCGGATGCTATTTGAACATCTTTTTCCTTGGGTCACCAGGAGCTGTGCCTGAACATCATTCCAACATTTGCCAATCTGATCGACTATCCATCCATGAAGAATTCCCTCATTCCCCGGATCAAATCGGCCTGCCTCCAGACCTCCTCCCTTGCTGTGAGTCTCCCATCTCTCCATTTCTTTCTAAAGTTCATGGTTTCCTCACTTTTCTTTTTTTCCACTTTTCAGCAACTCTTCGTTCTTATTTTCACAGCTTAGGACCATCTACTGAATTCTTTATGACATCACTGTCTCAGCCTGAAATGCTCTAATTTTTGTTGCTGTGTAGGTACGAGTGAACTCTCTAGTGTGTCTGGGAAAGATTTTGGAATATCTAGACAAGTGGTTTGTCATCGACGAGATCCTGCCCTTTCTACAACAGATCCCCTCCAGAGAACCAGCAGTACTGATGGGCATTTTAGGTCAAACGTGCATTATCCTCCTATGAATCTAATCTCTCCAACTCTTTAAGATGTACTCGAAAAACATCTTTAATTATCATATGTTCCTGTTGTATTTTTAGGAATCTACAAGTGCACATTCAGCCACAAGAAGCTGGGCATCCCTAAAGAGCACCTTGCTACTAAGAGCTTACCCCACCTTGTGTCTCTTAGTATAGACAACAACCTCAATCTCAACCAGGTAGCACACTGTTTAACTCCTGCACATATTTAGATCTAATTTATCTGCAAATATCCCAAAATATGTTTTACATTACGGTCACGAATGATTGTCTTCAAATTTTTGCAGTTCAACTCTTTCATGATGGTTATCCGTGACATGCTGGGCCGCATGGAGGCTGAACACAAGACCAAACTGGAGCAGTTGCACGTCATGCAAGAGCAGCAGAGGTTCCCGTCTAAATTTAGCAAACTGATTCTGAAACATTTTGGCGTCAGCACAGATTAGCTGGATCTTCAGAATATTTCCAACCTCTCAGAAGAGTCATGGCGCTGGAATTATTTTACAAAAGCTATGATTATGGAGTGACTAAGCAGGGTTGTGTCTTATTTTTTTCCGTCTGCTTTAACAGGAGTCTAAACATCACAAATCCAGGTAGCCAATCAGAGGAAACCAAGACTCCACCAAGCTCTGAAAACCAGGCAAGACCTTATTTCTGTGGCCAGTTATCCAGATGATGCGTATGCTTACTGTACATTCGCTAAATGTCTTCAAACGTTCTAATAACTACAGTAAATGTTACAATCTGTCTTTTTTGCTGTCAGATTGACGACATCTTTGGCAGCACCAGTGTTAATGGAAAAGAAACTGGGCCTGCTGCGGCCAGCTCTCAGCCAAACAGGGTACGATTTCTCCCTAACGCCTCATTCACATGCATGCTCTCATTAAGCATGTTGTCCAGTTCATTTAGGTTCTCTCTACCTTTGCATGGCTCCTAGATGTCTCTGACCTTAGAGGAGAAACAGCGGTTGGCTAAGGAGCAGGAGCAGGCCGCCAAACTGAGGAGCCAGCAGCCACTGGCGCCGCAGAGCATCAAACCAGCAACCACCAACGGTGCACAGGTAAAGCTGAAAATGTCTCTAAAAACACATCCAAGTCCATATCCGTTGTGTTTTCATGGTAAATCTCCTTTTACTGCTTCAGGCTAAAGATCTGACCAGCAGCCTACTCAACAGCATGACATCTCTGAATAGCCTTTCTCTGGCCAACACGGCCCGGCCAGCCCCGGTGCAGGGCGCCGCCGTGCCCGCCTTCCCCGCCTCCGGTCCTATGGTTGTCTCCATGGGCGCCCCAATGTCTAATGGTTTTAACCCAAATGTGGGCTTTCAAGCGGCGGGGATGGGGATGGGCATGCGACCCGCAGGCTCCGGCCTATACGGCGGAATGGCCAGCACCACCAGCACCCCCAACTTCGGAGCCCTCATGCAGAATCCAGGACTGACGGGGCAGACGAGTAAAGCTACAGACATGTCAGCCTTGGACAATCTGTTTACACCCAGCAAACCCAAAGTCCCTCTCAACCAAATGGTTCCCCAGACTGCTCCTGGAACGAACAGCCCTTGGCTCGGTCAGTTCGGTGCAGCCCAGAACACTCAGACTCCGATGCAGGGGGCGGCGGTAGGTCTGGGAGGGGTGCCCGCCGGGTTCGGGATGCAAGCAAACCCCTTTTTCAACCCGCAGAACTTCTCTCAACCAGCTGTTCCCCCAAGTGTGAACTCGGGGGGAGTTAAACCCAGTGGATCTGCAAACAACGATCTCAACGACTTATTTGGCTAGCACCTTAGGGGGGAAAAATGCAGATGCCGCGTTAGTTACATTACTTTACCGACTATGGACAGAAGAGCTTTGAATTCTTACAGAAAGAGACAAAGATGACGGACTATTTCTGTTTCACTCTTTCTTTAAAAAAAAAAAAATCTCTCAGATTTAAAGTCTGACTTAGTGCTCACATTCTGCTGGCAAATTAAGCTGCACCTGAATTCCATTTGTATGCGACCAGAAGGACGAACGTCTGGGGTGGGAACTTTTTCTTCTTCTATGCTGTGGTCTTTGAATGCTGGGGGTTTCCTACTCTTTTGTATCAATATGTGATTGGATGAGTTAATGTAGCCCAGTTGTTTGTTTCCCCCCACCTCCCTTTTAAGAAAGGTATTGTGTTCATATCATGAATGATTGAGTGTTTTTCCACTTCACGAACAAAGATGAATTGACAGAATAAGTAGTTTCACGCTTCACGTCTGCTCACTTTCAGGCTTTCGTGCCGCCACTGCTTCTCCAGACTACTGTAAGGACTCACTGCATGACTAAAGAGATCAGACGGTTGGCCTAGAAACTAATTCAGTGTCCACCAGAGGGTCCAGTGGGGGTAGGAATAGCTTGAAGTATTGCTCTGAGTAGACTGCAGCCACTGATCTGCATCCAGGAGGCTCCTTTGGGGAGACTGACCAAAAGGGGGGACAGAAAATGAGCATCCCAACAGTTTCAGTTTAGACCAGCCAATCCATGCTGCCCCAACATCTCCATGGCAACCCTGCCTCCGCAGCTTAGCTAACCTCCACACTTTGATACAAACGTAGTGTTGGGTTTGGTTTTCCCCTTTTGGTTCCATTCTTTTATCTTATGGCAAAGCTTGCCTTTTCCATGGCTTAAATCGAGTAATAAACAAGCAAAATCAGAGCTTGTTGATCATCATTTTACCTCCTTCACTTGCAAGAATAACAACCTGAAGAGTTTGCTGTGAAAGATCATTTGTGAAGTGGCTGTTACAGCACAGCTTTCAAGAAAACGCAGATGCTAAAGGCAGCGCAGCCGCACATGCACTGCTTTCGTAACTGTGCCTTATGAGGGTGCATGTGTAGAATAAGACAACACAGTTACTCAGAAATCTATATTTCCCTCCTTACAATGAGCTCTCTGGCATTTTCTTCTCAAAGGCCTTGGTTTGTTGGAATGTTACTGACCTCATCCAGATAAACACCTTTTGATGAATATATTTTTTTCCCTGTTCATTCTAGTGACCAGTCACATTTTATTTCACAAGAAGGGGACTCAGAATCCTCTGTTTGTCAGTCGATCTATGAGAAAAGGATTATCTCTGTATATTCATTCCAGCATTTATTTTCAACTGTCTGAGGTCCTGTTGTGGTGACCTACAGTAATATGAAGAACGGATATTTAAAATATTTATTTAGAAGTAGATTACTTTGTGAGAGCCTCGGCACACTTTTATGTTCTCATGATAATGGTAAAGAGGCCTTAGACAAGTCAAGTGCAATAATCCTTTTTGGTTGTTTAGGGTGCGTTTTGATAGACTCCTCTGAGCTGCAGTAATTTTGGAGGGTTATTAGCCTTTTTTTTTCTTAACCTTAATAGTTACACTTTAGATTTGTACTCATTCTAAATTTGAGACTAAAATCCTTCTATTGTGGGGATTTTAGTTGCTTATGTTTTAGTTTCTGTTGCTGGTGATTGTGAACATGCTAAATTCTAATGTTGCATTTTTTTGGGTTTTGTATTGAGTGGGAAAAAAAGAAGCCACACAACAACAAAATGAACCTTTCCTCCTGCCACATTGCAGTGTTACTCATTCATGTGACTCACCAGGGTCTTTTAATTGAACTTTCTCTTATTTTTTTTTAACATGCTAAACATCAAATCTGCTTGTCAGTGGACCATTTTCACCTTTTGATTTCGCCTTTGACTGGGTGTAGTCGTTGGAGTGTATGTAACATCCTCGCAGAACCCAAAGCAGAAAACTAAAGCTTATTCTTCTACAAAATTATTTGTATACTACTGCTGTCCTGTTTATGAAGTGTGAGCTGTTTTACTGTGTGTCAAGACGCTGGTCTCTGAGGTGGTTCAGTGAAGATCTGTACATATATAAAAGTTAGTCCACAACCTCACACTCTCAGCTGGTGGTCATTTCTCATGTACTCACATAATCTCCTATTGTTTTGTCTTTGGATACTATTTGCATCACTGAAAGTAAACTTTAAATAAAACACACCAGACTGCACAGAAAACGGAGCAGATTGAGATGTCTTAAAATGCATACGTGCACTTTAATGGATGATAGCACTACAAAGAGGTTATCGTACATTTTATTGCTTAAATACTTCACCAATTGTAAACAATTTTTTACATTTTTTTTAAGCACAACGTATCAGAACAAAGTCTTTTACCTTTGTTATTGTACTTTAAAAAAAAAACCTGATTAAGTCATAAAGCAGTGTTTTAGCCTTTCATTTAAAACTCAAACTCAACTTACATTGAAAATCATTCATCTCCATACATTTATGGTAATCTCTATTATAAATAATTTTGGATAAACTTATAATTCTTCTGCCTCCATGATGTTTCTGGATGACTTTACTCCTTTATTGATATCAAGTGTTTGTTGCTGAGCCCATTAGAATCTTTATTGCAGTATATATATATATATATATAAATATATATATGGTAGCCTTATTGTTTAGTGTTATTTTTTAACAATCAAGTTTTTAGTCATTTTTAATTTATTGTATGCAAAGAAATGCAAATGTCCTTATCATTCATTAAAAGAAAAAACTTTTTGCAGTCTAATTATGTGCAAAGATAACGAAACAGGGCCTGTTGCCTGATCAGTAAGTAAGTGCCATTGCATTTTCTTTTCTTCCCTCATGGTATAGGCATGTTCCAAGATGATACCTTTTTTTTTGCACCAGGCAGCATAGGAGACATACAGATTCTTGGAAGAGGTAAAACCTAAAATTTAAAGCTGGCATGCATAAAAAACAGAACGGCATCATGTTTAGATGACATGTACCAATATAGGCAGAGAAAGTCTGACAGACATCGACGTATGTTTAAGTCAGCTCCCATCTTCTGACTGTGGATGGCTTCACTGTGGAAGTCTTCTCCCTGGCTTTCTTCTGAGCCATGGCTACAAAAGTAGACATGATATCAGCCTGGACCATCTCAAACAGAAAAATATAAGGGCACAGGACAATTCTTTCATAGCCTCAAATACAGACGTGTTGCATTCTTCTGTATCTCACCTGAGTAATTCATTTCCTTTATGGCAATCTGCTCTGTTGAATCCCAGAGACAGGATTCCTCCTTACTGCCCTTTTCATTCCAGTGATGTTGTTGACTTGGCACATTGCTGGGGCAAAGCAGTGTTTAAACGTTTAGCTTCATAAGAAATGGGAACTGGAAAAAAAAGGAACTGTGGAGCAGCTGGGTGGCTGCATGCATGTGCGTTACCAGAAAAATCCAGGGTGTAGGAGAAACTGTCTGTATTGAGTTGCAGCTGGCCTCGTTGGTTCTTCTGGTATTGACTCAATGGCAGCACTGTCAAATGTGCATATCTGCACACATGCCAACAGGGGGAAAAATTAATCCACTTGCAGAAAAATCCATCTAGTCTTACTTACAGTTTGGATTTTTTTTCTGGCTTCATAGCCCATAATTCCACTAAATTTGACCAATAGATGTCAATGAACTTTCATATTTCTTTAAAATGCAATAATAAGCTGCTTGATATTAAAGGTCAAAACTCACATGTGCCTGGTATTCCATCCACTGCCCCTCATCCCCAAAGAACTCCCATTGGACATGTCCAGCAGATTGCTGGGGAAGGAAAGCTGATGTCAGGACTGGTGTAAAATTCAGGCTGTAAGGAGATGAAGCAGCCATCACACACTGAGACTGATTTGTTTGTCTAACCTGCAGACATTTGACTTTTCGAAAGACAATATGAGGGACCCGGCAATTATAGGACACTCTTGCATGGCTCGGTCAAAACAGAAGAAATAATGAAGATTTCAAGTTGTAAAAAAAGATCAAGTGAGGTGATATTGGAGCTCAGTTCTTCACATCTGCACAAATTCGGGTCGTTTTCTGTTTAGACCTGGTGTGTTTAGTTAGAGGAGCATTGTGCAAATCTGCTGGGGTGTTCAGTGATGGTTTCAATATTCTGAAGTTGAGGAAAGTTTCAAATACTGTATGTATGAGGGACCCTCTTTTGCAGTTTACAAAGGGTCTTTGAAGTGTGTTTTAAAGTTTTGTTTTTTTTTCATTTAAAAAGCAAAAGATACAGACCTTCTGCTCTGTTGAATCCCAGAGACAGGATTCCTCCTCACTGCCCTTTTCCTTCCAGTGATGTTGTTGACTTGGCACATTGCTGGGGCAAAGCAGTGTTTAAACGTTTAGCTTCATAAGAAATGGGAACTGTGGAGCAGCAGGCTGGCTGCATGCATGTGCATTACTTGGAAAATCCAGCGTGTAGGAGAAACTGCCGGTGTGGAGTTGCAGCTGGCCTCGTTGGTTCTGCTGGTATTCACTCTCAATGGCAGCACTGTCAAATGTGCACATCTGCACACATGCCAACAGGGGAAAAATGAATCCACATTGTTTCACCAGCAGTTCGGATTGTTTTTCTGCCTTCATTTCATGGAATTGAACTCTGCATGTGTTTGTGCATTGTAATTTGACCACTAGATGCAACTGAAGTTTTATTTCTTCAAAACACTAAATAAGTTGTTGATATTAAATGTCAGAACTCACATGTGCCTGGTATTCCATCCACTGCCCCTCATCCCCAAAGAACTCCCATTTGACATGTCCAGCAGATTGCTGGAGGGGGGAAGCTGAGGTCAGGACTGGTGTTAAATTCAGGCTGTAAGGAGATGAAGCAGCCGTCACACACTGAGACTGATTTGTTTTTTATTTGCCTTTCTTAAAGAGGGGAAAGCCCTACCTTGTAGCGTTGGGATTAAATTTTGGCCGCCTGCGTACATTCCTGCACAGGCCTGTGATGACGTTTATTTGGGTCATGGCTACAGAGAAAAACTCAATCAGTCAGATTTACCTAAAGACAAAACCGCCTGTTGCAATAGACAACAGAAAATCAATAGAACACACTGGAAAAATCAAGTGAGTAGCCTGTAGAGCCCACTGTGAAGCGGAGGGCTCCCTGAGGGTTCTGACAGAAGTGTTTCTCTATTTCTTTGCTACTGATAGATGAGGTCATCACGCTGGAACTCTGGGGAAGAGGAGGAGAAAGGAGATTACTGGTACGTTTGCATTTAAACTAAAATGAACTTTGAAGGCTTGATTTTGCCCACCTGGGATCCGTATTCGCACCACAGGTGATTATCTCTGAAATACCAGCAGATCTCTTCTGTCTGGTCCGGAGACAGGAAGCTGAGTCTCTGCACCTTCACTGCTGCATTCAAAGTCTCTAACTTGTCAAAGTCTATGAACACTTTTCTGTGGAGAGACACATGCGTGATATAATCTTTAACTTTTTTATCTGGTCTACTCTTTAGTATGTTCCTCTTAGATTTATAAAACAAAAAAGGGGGAACCACTTTAGCTTTCAAATCTATTTTTTCTTTACATAAGAAATGCTATATTCTAGTGCTTACAGTTAACAACTTAACAGAGTGTAGACAAGACAAGATTAATGTGTCCCGACCCTTTGTTTGTGTTTATGGTGATTCCTTTGGCTCCAGGTTGGCAGTAATGAGCCTCGATCACACAGTCGTTGTCAATTCGCTGCCACTCATTGCCAAAACGCAGCTTCCACTCGTAGTGCTTCCCACACACTGCGAAATACAAGGGAATGTATTCATGCATTCTAATAATACACTGCAAAAATCTGCAAAGGAAACAACGTGACATCTGGTGGAAAACACATTAAAACCACAAAACTGCTCTGTATAAATGCCGCACAAACCCCCAGTGTCCTGAAAATTGGACTTCAATGGGAAAAAGGAGGCGCTTTCCTGTCACTGACAAATACAAGAGCTTAACAAGTCAGAACAACTGGTAAACACACAATGAACAGCCTCATGGAGCTCGGCAGACTTACCATAATCTGAGGAGGGTGGGAGGTTGACAAATAAATAAAAGTTACAATAAATGTGAGATTGTCAATGTCATATTTTTGTTAAGAATACATTATTTGATTCACTTACTCATACTAAGACTCCAACATTGGCTTGCGCTTAGGTTGATAGAGGTGATACTTTCAGTTTCTCTTGCAGTTATAGCAGAACATGGAATAGGAGGAGTTAGGGGCGGGGAGTAATGATAAATCATGATATCCTGACTTGTAACTCTTGGAAAAACATCCAAATTATTTAATAATCAATGCCTCGCAGGTGCAGAAAAATACATTGGAGGTTAACATATATGTTTTATGTCCCGTAGCCCTTACTTACGTTCCTTGGATTACTAACTGGATGAATTTGCCCCAAAATAAATTTGTGTAAACCAGATTTTTTAGTTGGAAGCCTGAGAATAAACCAGAGAACAGATCAAAAGGAACAAATATGACATTTATTCGGTCACAGGTAAAGTATCTCAGCGCTGGGTCTCACTGACAAAGCTCCCTGAGGATCTAAGTCGGCAAGAGCCCCAAAATCTGGATGTGATGGACAATTATCTTCTGGACTGGGCCTCACCCGTACAGTAGGAAGACTGGACGCAACCAAATCTTATTGGCCAGTTCGCTCTGACAAGAACAGACCAGCTCCTAATTCATGCAGATTTTATTGGAATGTGATAATAAAGTGTGTGTGTGTGTGGATGTTGACCTTAAAGACGTGTATCTACTGTAACAGAGAGCGAGGGATAATCTGTGGGCACATCCAGAAAGTTCAACACAAGAGTATAATTCTAAAACGAATAACAAAAACAGTAATTTACATGGAATATGTGATAGCATACAATGCTAAAGTGAGCAACTTTAGCCTAATTCTAACACTATGCTGGACAGACACACTGAGGATGGCAGTTATGATTTGATTTAAATGAAATACACACATTGTTACAGCCCCTCCTAAAAGCTACTGCTGCATGTGGGCTGTGTATTGTCTGTTTGATGTCATTTGTATATGTGGTGCACCTGAAGGCCGGTTTGAATGCCGCCTGAATGAGACACTTGCAAACAACAAAGAAAAAGACAGCAGAGGAATCTTTAAATCTACCACTTCATTTATTTTTTCCTCAAATAAAAGTAAACATAAAAACCCACTATCTGCCTTAGTGCAAGATACATGAGCAGCAGGTTAAATATTTTAAATATTAAGAACACAAAGTATGGCAATGTAAAGAGGCCGGGATGGTTTGAGATTGCACTTAAGGTATTTCGTTTGACAGATATTGCAAAATGAAGAGGAGCGCTTTAAATAAGCGAGTTCATCTGAGACATTTCTATTAAAAACAGTAACACCACTGACAATTTTTGCATTGGTAGAGTATTACTAATTTTTTCTTCATTACATTTGTGTCCTCTACGTATGGCAGCATGACAAGAGCTACAGTATATATCTCATGCATAAGATTCTAATAAAAAGCATGGCCATGGTACAGTAGTTTAAGGCAGTTGTGCAACATTCAGGTATGGACTTGATAACTTCAAAGCCTTCCCCAAAAATTAATTTGAAATTGATATTTCCTTTAGAATTAAAACCCACAACATTAAAGAAAATGACAGCTGATGTAAACGAGTGATAAAACCTTTCCCGCTGTTTTCTTCAAACTGTTTCTGTAATGCTCACACCAGCACACGCCGTATTCGGCGTCTGTGCTTGCTACTCAGGTTGGTCTGGATCATTGCTGCAACAAACAAGAGCATGTTTTACATTTCAGATGTTTGGTTTACTGGTAGACATCTAGTTGATTGATTTGCTCTATAATCACTGTAATAGAAAATAAAATTACCCCCAAAGTCCAACTTGTAGGATTGCCCATTCACTTGGAACGTCATAGTGTCTCTTTGGTTTTGCTGGTATTTCCTCTCTATGTCGTCACTTGTTATGGAGCACTCAGTCGAAGTGCCACCCTGCTGACATAAAACACATTGTCTTTTCAATGATTTTCGATATCTATCGAATTGATAAAACAAAATATTTGAGACACCTGTTGCACAAGACAGACCCACCCTTCTTCTGAACTCATGCCATTTTCCACTGTCTCCTTCAAACTGCCATTGTGGTTTGGAGCCCAAAGAAGCTCTCTGTAAGGCTGAAGCGGTCTGAACGGCTCTGAAAACATACAAATGAACTAAACGCACCATATATTACTTCTAAAAGCCACTTGCCACACAAAGGCAATGCGTTTTGTACGCGGACATATTTTTGTCCTAAGAAGAAGTTTACGTTACAAAAACTGTACATATTCTTGTTTAGCTCTGTGGGTTCAACCAGTTAACATATAGCTCCCAATATCCAAACTGACCTGGCCCCGCCTGGTTGCGGTCTAAACAGCGGCCGCCGAGTGACTCTCATCTTTTTGTTTTTACCCACCTGTTGCATTTCTGACAAAAGAGGAAAAACAAAGAGCTAGGTTGAAGCAGATGAGAATGACCCTAATTTATATCAGACATGACAGAGAAAAAAGATGGTTTATATGACTGCGTATGCTTTACCTGTGAATCTAATCTCAAAGGTTTCACCACCAGTGCTGAAAGTATAAGAGCTTGTAGGGTTATTCTGGAACTTCTGTTCTATGTCAGAGCTCTTCACAGAACTGGTGTTTCCCTGGGAATCCTGGTCAGAAAAGTTGAAAATCATCAACAACCTGACAAATATATCTGCACGTAACCAGAATTTCAGTCTATGACTGGTCAACAGTCAAATGTGGTGTTTTAGTGAATACAAAAAAGGTAAAGTAGCCATCTACCTTGTCCCCATACTTGATCCACTTACGCCCCAAGTTGCAGTACCAGATCCACTCAGTGTTTCCATCATCCAAACGCCTCACTTGCAGTCTCTTTCCGAACACTTTGATCTTGTTAAAATCTATACTCACCGCCCTGCAGGGAAAAGAACACAAATCATTTTCCAATTTGTGTAACTTAGAACTGAAAGCAATTGCACTGGTGAGGCTTCTTCTTGTCTTACCCATACTGTGTATTGTAGATTTTGATGCTTTTTCTGTGGGGAAGTGAGTACTGGGCCTCAATGATATGATCGTTTATAACATCCTTCCATCCCTTTCCATCATTTAACTGCCACTGATAGTATCGACCATCAGTAAGTATTGGTGCTAGATTACAAAAAAAGTTTTTATACACCTAGCAAATTAAAATCCTTCAGTTTATCATAACATGACTGTCAAAAGTTGCAGATACATTTTTTAACATAAACTATTTTTGAATGATACTGTGTGAAATACATAGTTCAATGAGGGAAAGTCTAACAACAGATCATAATAACCATAAAACATATAATTATATATGTGACATGTAATAAACCATAGCTTCTCACTGCTCTCTCTTGGTTGGTCCATCCTGCTTCTCGCCCCGTTACCAACCGAGTGACTTAGCTTGCAATCGGATCCATATCGACAGTTTCCTTTCAGATAATATTTGCAAGCGTGCAGGTACGTGCATTGATTTCCATTCTTACAACGGCCTCTGTTGTAATACTTACAGGGCTCCTTGTCATTAACCTTAAAATAGATAATTAACATTTGGTTTACTTATTACATCATCTTATACATATACATATATATACATCGGTTTTAACGATACATAAAGGTGGCAATAGATTTAATGTACGGTATGTGGATTTTGTCTCGTGTTGTTGTGTATGAAAGCAAACCTGATAATCTGTCCCCAAATCGTCCTCAGATTGTTGGTCATTGTCTGACACATCAGAGAAATCCGATTCTGCTGAAGTTATAGAACTGATTTCCTCATCAGAATCTGTAAAAATGATTAATTACTTAAATTAAATCACTACATATGTACTTATGCAAACTGAGTTCACACCATTGAAAGTGTGTTAGTCATCTGACTAACACACTTTCATTTTACCTTTGAGTCTTTAAAACAAAATTCAAGTAAGTATTTTCTGCCCTCTGCTGGTAATTTAAATATATAATACATATATACCGTATATGAATAGAAAAAATAATCTTCAGGCAAATAAAAGACAAATTAAGGTATTAATCTACCCATATAACCCCCCCATATCTTAGTTAATGTCAAAGAAAAAAAAAAGGGACAAAGCATTAGGTTTGTTTATTTTTTATGTTTAAGTAAAACAGGCAGTCTATTTATAGGGAAGGGGGGGGGCAGGGGAAACGAAAGTGAAGTTAATTTTTAAAGACAGGCAGTGCATTGATTAAGAGTCCTAATATAACAAAAAATAATCATTTGTATCCATCGTTGTTATGTTAGAAAATGATTTAGGTTTGGTTGTATTGCTGCTTAAAAAAAAAAAAAAAACGGAAACAAAATAGCGTTCCACAGTAAAGTATATAAAACTCTTTACTCCGTGTAGAACTGTCAAGCCCACATAAGTAAAGAAGACATAAAGGATAAAAAGACATCGAAAATATTTTCAGTGTTAAGCTACTTACGATTCGCCGTCGCCATTCTGCATTTGGTGACGAACAACTTTCGTTTTCCAGCAACTGTAATATATATCCACCCCAGTAAATCCCCCCCCCCCCCCCAAAACCCCCCCCCCCCCGCAAAGTCACGTGCACTGCGCAAAGGAGAAGACTGCATTACAGATCATTTGAGAAGAAAGTCCGAGATGATTATGGTTAATCATTCACACATTCGTTATATGTAATGATATGTGATAGGTAATATCAATATTTCCCCCTTAGTTTTCATTCAATTGAAAACAAAACTACACCAACACTTCTGCCATTAATTAAATGGACCAAGTCTCTTAAGTCTAGTTCAAGAGCTGCTAATGTTTCTGGATTCTCCGGTTAAGTCGATTCAAACAGTGCTGTGCAAAACTCTTGAGCCACCTCTCATGGGATAAAAGTTTAATGCAAATGCAAAGTTGATGAAAATGCAAGATAAAATACTATAACATCAATAAAGGGGTCAGTGCCGTAGAGGGAGATTTTTGCCCTGGGCAGAGACTGGACTTTGGGGGAGAGTGAGGGGGCAAAAATGGAAAGTTAGAGGGCTGTTAAGGAGAGGGAGAAGTCAATGATGGTGGTACCATGCGCAATGATAAATTTGTTCTGAAAAAAGAGAAAACAAAGCTGGGCAAACCTTTGGCACAAATAGAAAAAAAGAGGAGGCCAACAAAGGGACGGACTCAGACCATTCTAAGGATTCATTTAAATAAAAAAGTAATTTTTTAACTGAATCTCTAAGCAAATAGGTAAATCAGTTCTGTTTGTCCTTTAGATCCCTTTTTGTTTTATTTAGGTTCCTCTTTATGTGGAAGATTTGTGGACAAAAACTGTGGGCAGTTTCCACCATGACTGCATCGTCATGGAAATCAGAGTCCACAATATCCACAACCTGTTTCAGCTTTGTCAATAAAAACGTTGAGCCACTCCAAGTTTGGAGAGGTCTTCAAAACGACTTTATTCACTTGTGGTTATTCCATACAGATCACACAGTAGGGAGCTATTAGCACTATACTTCACCCCATCCACAATCATAAACAACCCTCCCCCTTCCACCCACCCCCAAAACAATAGTCTTTACTTGATTGACTCTACACATAAGAGTTCTTGGTCTCGGCTCTTGTGCACGAATGAAACACCATTTTTTTAAGTGTAGTATACCAATTATTGCAGTTCATGTAGAAAAAAGAAATAAAAACTTTTCATATATATATTTTTATATTACAGTACAGACTTTACAACCAATGATTGTGTTTAAATGCGTCTTTTATTGCATTAGATACTCAATTACCTTCATTAAGCTCCAGCTTCAATAACTTTATGCCAGTATACATCTCCAAAAAGTGTTAGATTAGTCATTAATCTTAATATTACTTTTTATTTTTACAAAACAAACATATTTAAACAGTATATTGGTTGGTTTTTCTAACCAGTCTAACCAGTCATGGGAAGACATGTTGCAGAAACATACATGCCATTTAATGGTGTCTAAAAAAAAGATTTTTAAAGTCTCTGGTGTATTCCTGGTAAAAAAAACATCAACAAAAAGCATTTGAACTGGTTTGAAGAAAGTATTGTTGTGTATATGTGCTTGATCCTCTGAATCTCTCTTGTATTGTATGTGGTTTTTGGATGAAATTTGAAATTCCACACAGTTTTGCATGTACTTCAGCAGCATGTATGACATCTTGTCGGTAACACACTATTGCAATTGCCGGTTTGTTTGAGTAGTGAAAACACCGTGAGTTTGCATGTCAGTATGTACAAAAATGTGTGCATTTAGTTGAAGTTGTGTGCAAGAGTGTAGGTACATGTATAGCTAAATGAGATCCCCGATAGGTATACGGGGCAGGCAGACGTAAGCCTGCGGGGTCCTGCTGAGGTTGATTGGGTTGCCATCCAGACGGATGTCCTCCAGTGCATTCCTGATGTAGTTGAAGTCATTCAGGTTGCAGAAAGTGTCCTCGTGCATCATTTGAATATTGTTGCGCTACAAACAAATATAACATTTAATTAAATAAAAAAGACGGACACTCAGAGATGCCTGATTGAGAATGTTCTTGAAAAATAATAATGAATTAATCTGGCTTGTACTCCTTGGCAAAACAAAAAAATAGAAAAGCAATCACAACTTGTGGTTGATACAGATATAGCTCAATAAACACCATTTCCTTGTTGTCCCCTTTATGAATGTTAAAAGCCAGTTATTAGAGCATGGGAAAAGTAGCTGTACCTGTAGGTGTAGAGATCTCAGGCTGTCCGGTAGAGGCACCGGGATGTAGTCAACGGTGTTATCTGTTAGGTACAGGTACTGCAAGCCAGTCATATCCTGAAAAACAGTGAAGAAAGTTGTTATATGTCATTATTTAAGTTATGTCCCTATTGCTAAAGCTCTTGTGTAAATACATGTATTAGCAAAGGTTCACATACTTTAAATGCCTCCTTGAGAATACCCTTTGAGCCAATTTGGTTGTGGCTGGCATCGATCAGAGTCATGGTCTCTGGTAGAGCTGGCAGTTGCGAGATGTGATTTTCTCGGATCACCAGTTCCTCCAGCTCTGGCAGGCCCATAAATGTTCTGTCTTCAATGGATGTTATCTCATTGGCAGTCAGGTCAATCTTCTTCAGCTTGTCTGGAAGTTGAGAAAACAGGGTCTGAGAATTTGAACAACCCACTCTAATGAAACGTATGACATATCATACGTTTGCTAAAGAAAAAAACAACAAACATTTACCGTCATCTTTCCATCTGAACATTCCTACATACCTGGGCTAATATTAATTTTCATTCAAAGAGGAAACATACTCATGAAGGCAAAGTCTGACTTGTTGATCTTGGTGATTCTGTTGTAGCGGGCGTAGAAGTGAGTGGTGTCTTTGGGCAGAGGTGGAACGCTATCCAGCTTTAAGTCATCACAATACACAGACCCGCCCAGGCATGTGCACAGCAAACACGTGGGCATGCCTGGAACACATTGATAAGAAGAAGACCAAGGAGAAGAGACAGGTTTTAATAAAAAAAAAACAAAGAAAACACATGCAATTCCTGGTAGTTGTTGAGAAGTTTCATATCCCTTCAATGGCAGGGTAAAAAAAGAGGGTCATTTCAAGACAGGATTGAATATATCAGACTTTCCAATGTCTGGCGAGTTGAGATGTAAGATCCGGGTCTATACTGAGCATCTCTCAATACTGACCTCGTCTGTCAACCACAGGCTCATCAGGCTCCTCTGGCTGTTCAGGCTCTGGCAAACCAGAGCTCACTGTCTCTTCTATACTGCTAGCCCCCTCCTGAGGGGTTTCAGGTGTGATTGGAAGCAGCTCCTCCTCTTGTTAGAGACAAGATTAGGTGTTAAAAGTACAGGTTAGATCAGCAAAGACATGGAACAGGAAGTCTGGCAATCAGTCGGTCGCTGTTTGCCGGAGCGAGTTATTTTAGCAGCGTTAACCAAAGGTTTATGCATTTTGTGAATGTAGGTTAAATGAAACAGTCTCTCTGAAATCATTGACACAAAGGAGAGGTTACAAGATTGTTAGAACAAAAAATAACAAAAAACAGATCAACACCGTTCACTCTTTGTGATCCTTTAGAAATGATTCTTACATTTACCTCTACTGAATTAAATGAGAGTCATTCAAACTATTCCAGACAATTGCCAAGTTGCTTAAGATGTAGTGTCCACTGGCAATGAATGCCAAACTTTCTTCAATTGCCAAAAAACTCTGCAATATCAGCTGCACTCAGAGTTTTGCTTCTATGCTAAGTGGGAAAAACTGTTGAACAGGTGGGGTCCTTGGCACCTTCATGATACATATTCTGGTTTCTTTTTGCATACATTTTGGTGTCTGAGACATAACTTTACGTTATCTTGCCTTTAAATATCTCACACAAGTCTAGATTAAATACTGACCTTCATCAGGTTTAGGGACAAGAGTTATTTCAGGGACCTCAATGTCTCCAGAGCCAGAGACACCAGAAGCCCCAGAGGTTCCAGAGACCTCTATGTCTCCGGAGGCAAAGTCCCCTGAGGCCCCTGAGCCTCCTGAGGCCCCTGAGAATTCCCCAGAAGCACCAGATGTCTCTTGAGGAATAATGTCGGGAAAGAGAGGCAGCTCATCCTCTTGTTGGAGCCAAGGGTTGGGGTTAGGTGGTGAAAGTTAAGAGGGAAAATCAATCAACCCATTGACCAGTCAATTGCACGCACATTTTAGATGAGAAAGAATGTTAGAAAAACATGATTATGACTGCAACATAAACACAATGAAAATATTTAGAACAAAGACTTAGGGTCAACATTTAACCACATTTAAAACAAAAGCAGTTAAATGGAATTTAAGACAGGTAAACAACATGAATAACAAATAGAACATTTACTGTTAGATGAAAAGAAAAGCCACGTTCCTTAGATCTACTAACCTCCAGATAATAAAGTTATCCCTATTCCGGACTCATCCGAGTCCCCAGAAACCCCAGAGCTTCCAGAAGCCCCTGAAAACAAAGGATCTCCGGAGAACCCAGAGCCAGACTGTTCCCCTGACTCTCCAGAGCCAATGGGGAGCTCAATGGCAATCCCAGAACCTCCAGAGGCAAAGTCCCCAGAGGCTCCAGAAATAGCAGATCCCATGGTATCTCCTGAGCCTGAGAAATCCCCTGATATCAACAGATCCCCAGATGACAAGAACTCTGCAGATCCTTCAGAGCTGAAAAACTCCTTTGAGGGACTGGATATTAGGATAATGTCCCCAGAGGCACTGGATTCTGCGCCTGAGCCTCCAGACCCAGAGGCCCCAGATGCTCCTGAGACTGTGGAGCCTTCAAAATCTCCAGGAACATGAAGAATATCATTGGGTGGCAGATGCAGCTCCACCTCTTGTTAGAGACAAGATTAGGTATTAGACAAGATTAGGTATTAATAAACACATAGATGACAAAGATCATTAATCATATCTAGGGACGATGATTAGGTTGAACAGTTGATGGAATATAGACACAGTGAACACATCGCATTTAACTTTTTACAGCTAGTTAAATGGATAACATGCAGACATGAAGGATGAAAATATGTTAAGCAGGTGACGCGTTTAGAGGACCAATGGTGGGTATTTTTGATAGGCTTGAGTGAATCTGCTCTCATAACTCGGAGGGCTAAAGGAAGTGTAAGGAGTTTCCTCACTTATCAAATAACTTCATGCATTTAGAATGCTGATGTACATTTTCTTGATTTTTCAGACCTTTCTGTGTCTCTGGGCCCATGAGAGCACCTGATCCCCCAGAGCCCTGAGGGACAAGTTGGGATTTTAGGTGCAACTCTCCTTGCTCCCCTTCCTCCTCTTCCTCTTCCACTTCCTTCTCTTCCTCCAGTGAGTCCTCAGCCACCTCATAGTTATAGTCAGGTGGAGGCATTTCTTCCTGGGAAAAATACAACAATAAGTCAGAAATATACAATGGTTTGACATCTAACAAACAAACAAACAAAAAAACAAACAAAGAAACTTGCATAACAGTCTAGTTTTTGTTGAACTGCATCTTTTTGGTGGCTCTTTGTATTTTTTTATAATGATTTAATGAAGAAAAATACCAAAAAGGCTCATACCTTTAAAGCGACAAAAAAAACTGTGTATTAATGAAGGTTCTGTTCAAAATGACACATAGAAAAATGTATTGGCTCCGCGATCAGAACCAATGGGGAGGAGGGGAGTAGCCCAGGACTGACCATCCAAAACCAAGTGCAAACTCAGAGCTCTTACCACTAGATAGCAGCAAACTGTCAAAGATTGAAGGAATGATTAAAAAGAGATTCACTTGAATTCAGATGCAATGAACATGTAAGAAATATCCTGTGGAAAACACAAGAAAACACTGACTTCTTTTTTTCTGACCACCACAACAACACCATGTACAAAAACAAATACATTGTTAAAAAATTAGATTTTCCCCAAGCTTATGTAATAGAAACAGCACTGCCAAACCTCAATAATGACAGCATAGTTTGCCACTATTCGGTGTCTTAGGAGTTCCTGAAACATGCATTTCTCTCAACCTCCAGAGGAGGGCATTGAGCTTCCACACACCACCACAGGTTGTACCTGACACTCAGGATGATTCAGCCCTCCGAAAGAGGAATGGTCCTTGTGGAACCAAGACACACATGGTAGCTCCAAAGATCATATCTGAGTCTTTACAGCTGACTTCTTCCACAGTAATCTGATAACTGTAGACCTAGAAGTGTCACAGTATAATGTATGGTGACCAAAGTCAGTCTGACAGTATACTGAGGAGTACAGAAATGTATCTGAATAAATGCAGCAATGAGGCAATATTCAGCTCCAAATGTCACACTCTGAAGCTTAGCTGAGACACAGTTTAGTTTACAACAAGGTAAGCCTTTGAAAAGTCATGCACAGAGTTACTTCACTGCAGCTTGCCCCCTTCATTTCCCCCTTTCCCAAAAGCAAACATATATACCTAAGGGAAAAGAAGAGGTGAGAGGCTGGAAAACAAACACACCAAAAAAAAACAACCTAACAGCTCTGGAAACAGCATGGGAGCGCAGAATCTGCAGGGACACAGGGGGAGACGCTGTATGGAAATCGAATGTTATCTCGTTGTTGTAGTGTATTCACTGGATTTAGTACCCCTTGTTAATCCATGCATATACTGAAAATGGAAACTCATTGTTTAAATATGTTTTCATTCATAGCTGTGTTTGGGTATGTAATACCAGATCCTTTTTTATTTTATGTGCGTCTGTTTAGGTCCATGCTAGACTATTAAACATAAAATTGGTTCAACAAATTGATTAGAGTATTGTGAAATTTTCACACCTTTGAGGGTCATTTTAATGGTCATGAAAAGAGGGAAAGAATGTCACATTCCTTACTGTCAAGATGCAGAGACAAGATGAGATATTTTTCGGACCACTTTTATCTTTGATACATTGGATGTGTGGCTGGTAAAAACTGTAGGCCCAGCAAAACAGGCCCATCCATTTTAAATAACAGGTGAACTCTAGTCTGAGGTTACTTTTGTCATACTTTATCATTGCAATTTGAAATTGATATTTCTTGTTGACCTTTTTTTCAGTGGTGTAAATAAAACATTATCAGTAATTATTAAATACTGGTTTGATCATTTTGGTCTTTACCTGTAATGCTAGCAATTTCCACTCTGCAAGAAGCTAGACCAGATTAAGTTATGCTGAATTAACCGAACCAAAAGAAAAAAAACATTCAGTTTGAGTTTGTCTAGTCTTTTTACATATTTGCTCACAGTGGCACTATTGTTTGAAATTCTGTTGTTTCTGATTATTTTCTATGGTTAATCATTTTTCTTAGTTCATTTTTTTAACCCGTTCTAGTCATTAATCCTAGTTATACTCACTTCCACTCTTTGGTTAATAGAGCCACTGCCACAACTGTCTCCACCTCACTCAACCTCACATGTAGCTAAATCCTTATTACTTTGCCCCAGTATATACTATTCATTGTTAAGATCAGTTTGAATTACTAATGAGTTCAATATAAAACTGAATGAGAATCTGTCATTTAATAAATGAAGATTTGATAAGATTTGATCAAACTGAAGCCTAAAAGACACTGCCATGCTGCCACACAAAGGTTGAAAAAGCTCATCTTAGCTGCAATTAGTAAGCCAGCCGGCTTCTAAATATTTACTTTAATCCAAAAGAAAACTACAAGAAACAGACCGAACCACTCGCTTGGATTAAAGTGCCAAGGAATCAAAAGCGAGTGACTAAAGAATTTAAAATCAGCAGACTGAAGATGATTTGTTTGAATAACAAAATGGATAAGCCTTTATTTCTCACAAAATAAGCAAGCCCCTAAAAGAGAGAAGAAGAAGAATACCAAACAAGAGCTGGACATGAAAAGTAACGACTCAGCATTCCAGAGGGTTGGAGCTCATTGCCGCTTCATTTCTTCCCTGAGATTTGTGTGCGTGGATGAAAGAAAGAAAAAAAATCCATCCAATCTTCATTCCAATGAAGATTTGTCCCCTTTACTTAACAAAGCAGATGGCAATCCCTGCAAAATTATATTCCTAAACCCCTGCAATTATGAGTCATAGCTGTGTTTATATGGAGTTAACATGATGACAAAACCCCCAACTTTTTCAGAAAAACAGCACAAAATCCCTCAAAATATTAGGCAATATGCTATTTCAGACGAAAAAGTACTAAAGCCATTTCATGCACGGAAACCTTACATTGCACGCAACTGAGAGCTCATTGCTCTCATTTGTGGTTTAGAGAAAAAAAGACAGGGTCCTGATTTGGAAAAAATTGGATTTTTGTCTTTGTAAAATCCACATTGAATGGTAAGATATGTCTTAGGTATCAATGATACTGTGTAACCCAGTGCCATCTGCATCGTGTCCATCCTTGTTTGATTTATAGGGTTGCCATATCAAAGTCAAGTTGAGTCTGACTCAAAGGACATTGCTAACATTCTCCACTCATCTTTGAGGAGCTTCCTTGCCAAAGAGAACTTGAAAAGAATGATGGGAGTGCATGTCTCGGATTGGGCTGCTCTGCTTGTGGTTTTTCTTCAAGACAGATGTCAGTTGTTCATTTAGGGCAACACATAACACCATGACAGTTAAAGAAAGGGATTCACATACAGTAAGCCAATTAACCAGTAGCTCTGCAGAGTCTGAAGAACTGATATGCTCTGGTCAGATTTCATGTAACAATGGAAAGCTCCCAGCTGTATTTTCCTAATGATCTGAATTCTGCAGAGTAAACAACAATTTTTGATTGGATCAAATTGAATACCAAATACCAAGATAGCAAGAAAAACAAGTCTATCACCAAACCCCGAATATTGATTGATTTCACAGCTAAACAGTTCCAGGTGCTTGCAGGATTATAAGGCATGGAACTCAGAATGGTGGCTGGCCAAGGCAGAAAGCTCAACTATTTTGGACAGAATAGTGAACAATGCTGGAAATGTTTGTCCTGTTTCCACGCTGAGCTGTAACCATCTGCAGGATCTCTGTCTGCCCCAACCCCTCAGCTCAAAACCCCTCACACTGCTGACAGAAATAATTCCATCGAAACTAATTATTCTTGTATTCAAAACACCTGTGGACCCAAAGCCTACATCTCTGCACCTTAGAGCAGTAATCCCTCAGGAACTGTATGGCATGATACCAGCCCAAACATTATAGTGGACATACCTCCCATGACTGTTTTGTCAAAGTATTCTGCGACAATAAATGAAACTCTATTACTATTATTTAAACACTGCCTGTGGTTAAATTCCCCTGTAACAGTTTTGTGGTCTCAGTGGAAATTGTTTGCGCATATAACAAGAACTTTTTACTCAAGACAATTCCCTCCTTGTTTTATTTCAAAATAACCATAATAAAATAATCTTTGGAGATTCACTTCACTTGGTCTGTTTTTAAAATCTGACTGAAATGCTTATCTGTGTGATTGGAGGATGCCCTGGCAAAACACTCTTTCATGTATGTACAAATAACATTTTCCTACCCGAGAGTTATAAACCATCATTTGGTCTTCGTAGTCATAGTTAGCAGTATCATATGTGTCCGAATCCACTTGTCGTGAAAACCTGGGGCTGGCCACTGCTGCTTTGAGGACGAAGAGTCCAAATACGAGCTGCACAATCATCCTCATGGTCCACCTACACACACAGATAGAAGAAGAACTTTCACCAAAACATTATTCCATATACAGTGCATGCACGCTGCATTGACTGGGGGGGGGTAATTGAATGATGTCAAGGGGAGCTTCTTTTTCATGCCTGAGAATATCACATTTAAGGTGGAAACGTATCAACGTACAGTAGAAACCATTGTCAATACACATCAGGGGATGCTGCCATGATATTGGCGCTATAACATGGTCATAAATACTTGCAGTGTAACCCGTCCATAGTGTACCATATGACTTTGGCTCCCATCACCGATGGCCCTGAACCCATTATCAAGGTGCAGACAGCTCAAGGGTATCAAAGTACAAGCGCTTCTTGCATGGTTCTAGCCGAGGCTCATGTCAGTGTTCTCCTACAGTTTTATGGATTCAAAGTTAACATGACAAAGACCCAAGAGGATATTACATTTCTTTTAATCCAGCCTTGATATCTAGCAAGTGTAAAAAATAAAAATGCCAAAGTCACAACCTTCAAGTGATCTCTTGCTCCATAAGAATCCCACTGAAAATGAACTTGGGTCATGAAATGTTGTCAAGGAATTGAAATCAAATCGTTATTCTGATGTGTCCGTATGATGGTTGTTCAGTCATTTACCAGCATCACCCTCACAATGCATTCTTATTCCATAATTATCACCTGCCTTATTGGAAGAGCCCATTGTCGATGGATGCGGTACTCCTAAATTGTCATCATCTAACTCAGAGCGAACCGCTACATACTGCCAACTATTTTACTATGGTGGGGAGCAAAACACAAATTAAGCTAAAAGTTAGTGATAAGCATAAAAATGTAATTCTGTAGTGTCACCTTAAAGACATGTAGCACAAAACACACAAGAGGGTTGAAGTGGAGAAGGGGAGTGGACACCTGGCTCACAAGCAAGAGACTGCAAGTCCAGGTTTGACCATGCTGTTTTTTTCAAGTCCTTCTTTTTTCACTTGAGTTCCAGCCTATTTATGATTTCTTTGTCAAAAATTAAAACAACTTGGCAAAGATTACTTGTAATAATAAGCTATGCAAAAAAAAATGCATGCCTTAATACCCTCCGGATTCACGCCTGATGCAATAACTCCTGACCAAGTGTGAGTATATGTGCTGTGCTGAGAAGTGAGAATGGGCCCACTCTCCAGTTCAGTGTTCTAGTCCAAACAAAGTAACAGGACAGCTCAAATTTTCTAAACACCAGCTCAAAACCCAATAACGAGTCTCCGAAAATGATTGATTGCTGTCCTTCTAAATGAATTTCTATTTTTTGATAATAACATATAGATCCACTAATGGCAATTTGTGAAACATACTAGTCAAAAAAGCCCATAAGACGTTGGTAGAATAGGGAAAACCTTTTTGAAAATTGTATTCACAAGACCTAAAATCCTTTCTTGTATGATATAGTTGATGTTTACAGTAAAACAAAGGTACAGTTTCCCCTTCAGTTGCAAGGTCTAGAAATGTTTACTGTATGTAAATTAAATCTTAGATTCTTCAACACAGATGAATACAGGACCAGGCTGGCAAGGTAGCAAGGAAACTTGCTGTGCTCCATTGTGCTCCCACCAAACATCCACTTTCAAGCTCTGCTCATTTCCACATAAACATCTCTATCAAACTGAGCTGATTAAAGCGTGTCTTGAATTCCTGTGTTTTTGGCTTTTAAGGCTTTGATTATTTTCCCAATCAGAGCAAACAAAGCCACTGGACAAAGCATGAAAAAAAGTCTTGGCAAAAAACAAAACGAAAACCAACTCAAATATGTTGCCAGACAGGAAAATCCTTCAAGTTGAGTCTTAAATAAGCATGTATGACTCTCATTAAGCACAAAATCTACTTTATACTGTGCTGACCTAGCTGCAGTTCATAATCCTGTTAATTTCCTCCGCAGCACAGTATTCATGAGATTAGTCACCTGGTTCAGGAGTGTTATTCCATAGTGGGAAGTGCTTTGCATATTTCAATTATTGGGTAATTAGTTGCCATTTCTTATACTAGACCCCGGTATTAATCATCTGACACAGACAATGTATCAGTTTTCAAAAGATAACTGATAGCAGGTGTGGTCTTGTTGCCGCTGCTTACAGATAGAGTGTGCACAGCCTGAAAAAAGACAGAAGAATTTACAAAGAGTCCTCCAGGCCAAGGCAGAAAAATGGAGAGCCAGGACGCAGAAGAAGAAATGAAGAGTGCGATAGAGAGGGAGACGGAGACAAGATGTTGGCCCTCAGGGTTAGATGGAGAAAGTGAGGAGTAGGAGAACGTGAGTAAGTGAGAAAGAGAGAGACAGGTTTCTAAGCTAACCCGACCCTTGGCCCTTTACAGAGGGCCTTTATGAGGCCCGCTCGCTGCCCGTCTCAGCACTCAAACTCCAAATTCCACCGAGGTTTGTGGACAGGATGGCAGCAAGTTCCTGCTGCAAGGAGAAGCTTTATTCAACAACACACACACACACACAAAGTCACGCACGCACACTACACACTTGGAAAGATGCAATCCCCTCACAGATAAACAGCCTCAACACACCTATCTTTCAGATATAGAAATCTAACAAACATCTGTTGCTATTTTGGGAGGAAAGAACAGAAAAAAACAAAAATGCACGCTTCCAGTTTTGGCAAATCATGAATATACCTGTTGATGTAACCCTGTTAATATGAAGAGGGAAACAGATTTTGATATGAATGAGGGGACCGAGTCAACCAGTGCTTTCATTGTCTGCAGGATGAACTCAGTGCACTGTGTTGGAAGCTTGCTACTGAAATAGAATTAGACGAGGCATCCAGCACAGCCAGGCTGAAAGGACTATTCTGAAGACAGCACAGAGGTGTGCTTATATACAGGCCATCACAGTGTGCAGTGTGTGAAAGATGTGTGTATGTGTTGCGCCAGACTACCTGCTTGTTATGTTTGGCTTCACATTGGACATTCCTGATATCCAGTGATTCTGCCTGATCCCTTCTACAGCCTACAGCAAGCCCAAAGGTGTCCCTTTGCAGCAGGTTGCAGAACAATTGGACTCATTTACAATATAAACAAGGTGTTGGGGAAATGATCCACTCAACAGTGTAACAAATATTAAGATTATCGGACAAGAATATGACTGTCATTCAAAAAGGAAAACACATCAAATAGATCAACACACAAATTCCTTATCAGTTCCTCCCATCATTTGCAAAAGTTCCTACAAGGCTCCATGATCCATGTCACTTAGTACAGGTGGTATTCAACATCTTATGATGCTCATACCAGAATTACACCAAGAGTTTCAACAATATATATATATATACACAAAAAAAAGTTAAATAAATGCATTTATGTTTTAGACAACCTGTACAACTCTCAAACCAAAGAGCTAAAATAAAACATCTGTTCTACCAAGCAGTTTGGCGAGCAAGTCCATTTCAATCCCATAGCAGCGGTGGTTTTGAATGGGCTAGTCATGCACCTCTGCCTGCTTAATCCTCTGAAGCAGAGAGCAGCTCAGCCGGCATGAACATACTGTAGCACCAAGAACGCTTACCTCTGTCTCCTGCTTTCCCGAATGGTCCCTTCAGCCGTGATGGAGATGCTGAGGGCTCCGGGACTTGGCCAATGATGAGAGGTCGCACAGGGTGCCTTGAAGAGGGAGGGTGCGTGAAATGTGTGTGTTTGTGTGTGAATGTGACAAATGTCTAAGTATGTGTGTATGTGTAGGTCTGCGCGCTCCAACAGACCTGAGTGCCCTGCCGCTTATGTGTGAAGGTAGGCACTGAGGCTGATTGGACCAGAGCAGATTGCTTTTGGTCACTCTGAGTGCACCCACCCCACACTGTACACCAGTACGGACAAACCTCAAACACACACACACACACACACACACATCCAACCCAAAAGAGAAAAAGAGAAAATGCACCTTAAATGTTAAAAAACTAAAACATTTGATGCTTTACATAAACATCCTTAAGTTTTTTTTAAGTGTCCAATCGATCTGAAATACTTGTCTTTCTTTTCCTGAGGTGAAACTTTGGCATTTGCTACTCTCATGTATGGGGGGGGATCAGCGGGGCCCTTGTACACAATGGGACCTCTGTGAGGAGCCCCTGTTAGCATGGTGCTGAGAGGAAGTCCCAGCTCGGAGGAAGGCCTCTACCCTCATTTTTGGATGAAGCAGTTTTCCCTGTGCATCGTCATTTGCCCAGTGATGTGCTGTAGATTTGGGTTCAGCTGTTGGAATAGTGTGCAGATCTAAATGTGGGGGGACTGCTCTGATCTGGGTTATAAGACCAGGGCACCCATGGCAAGTAGATCCAGACATACATTCATATACACATATCAGACAAACTTAAGTTTGATTACAGTTTACAATATAGGACACACAGTTCACACATACAAGAGGCCACACAGCTTTATTTGTCCATAATTTTGTCTCAACCTGCCCTCCACTTCCACTCACTTATCCTGTGGTAACTCTAGACCTTTTGATGAATGAAAGGCAAAGGATGCAGTGGAAAAGCCAGAAATCTGTCTACACCTGCCATATAAGCTGGGATTTTCTATTCAGAGCTTTTCTTCTGCTGAGCAAATATGGCGAAGAAAATGAATCACATTTTGCTCCAAATTTAATATCTTTGGACAATGATTGATGGATTCAAAACATTACTGACAGCATTGTCCAGTACCTAAAAAGCCCTGCATGGCTGATACCCTATGTGGATTTTCACGTGAAAACTAATACTGACATAGAAATTCAATATGAGCAAAACTGATTGTGAACTAAATGAGTTAACTGACAGAGCTAAATTCAACCTTCCTCCTGTGGTGCAGGACGGAAATGGCTTTGTACTGTCCAAAAAGATTTGACTATTGAAAAAATATGAAAAACAAAAAAGAATAGAAAAAATATGAAATACGGGACTTGTATGAACTGTATTTCCCAAAAATGTAATAGCATGAATTAACCAATAAAAAAAAGTAGTTGCATTTAAAATAATTTGTTTATGTTTATGTTATGTTTGTAAACAAACATAAACAAACATAAACAAAATTATTTATGTTTTCTGAATTGATTACAGATATCTGTGTGGCTCCATTGACTCTCACAGATGGAAAAAGGTTTCAGCACTCAAGGGAACCTATTGTTTGATTTAAGATGTTGGTTATTATTTATCATAACTTGAAGGTAAAAATATATGTTTTCCTTTTCTTCGTGTAGAATGCTCAATGAAAAAAAGACAAAATTAAACTGGGAGATGCATTCACTCTGAGAGGTTTTTATTCATATTAGAGAAACTTTTAAATGAAATCACCTGTTCTGCTTATTCAGACACAGTGGCCAGAGTCAAAGAGTGTGTTGGCATTTTTAAAACAAAAAGATTCACATTTTCTTTTTTATATAAAACTTTAAGGAATGTTGGCCATGAATATTCACAGGATTCAACAAATGTTTCCCTAAATATCAAATATAAATATTTGACCTATATATGTGTATTTGTAAGGAAATGTAAGAAATGTTCTTTATGTAAATATGAACTTAGACCTAGAACACATAACCTTTACTTTGGTTTGAAGCCAACAAATGTAAAGTAGTTAAAGAAAAAATATAAAGATGATTTTCCTAAGCATTCAAAAGGTTCTGCTCCTGCTCAATGTGACCAAAATAACACTGAGTCCTCAAAGCTCACCACATTGCATAAATAGAAATGTTTTCTGCATTATTTTTCTACTATTGTGCTAAATCATAGAACATTTTGTCTCAAGAGTCTCAACAAGAGTCTCAACATCACTTGACATATTTTACAACAGCATAAGGCACAACTAGCAGACAGCACATTGTTACAACTTAACACCAACCCATCAGTGTAATTTTTCTTTGAGTTAAAATCACATTCCCCATAAAAAGGTGTTTCATGGATGCAACAATACGATCATTTCAGAAGTAGCATCAGATATTTCTCAAACACAGAAACATGTATGCTTTCACTGGTCTCATCAGCATTCAAGTCTAGTTATTGAAAAATGTACGTCATGATTTGCATGCAAAGCGTTGTTGGTTTTCTGTTCAGATGACGATAGACCTGAGGAGACGGAAGCACGTGATGACATCCCTGGGAATTGGGGGGTTGATTTCATTGCCATCCAGTCGGAGGTAACGCAGCTGAGGCCCGCTGTCATTCAGTGACTCGTCCAGAGCACCGGACACTGGGCAGACAGTAGAGCCACTCACACCTGCAAATGAACAAAGGGAATCAGTGTGATGAGACTCGACTCTCTGATAAAGACCCCTTTTCCCAAAGACACTCAAATAACACCGAGACTCACTTGTGATCTTGTTGTGGTCCAGGTGAAGGTGTTCCAGGCCCGAAGAAATTATGGGAACCTCAGTCAGCTGATTGTGGGACAACTGCAAATCCAAAATACTGGAGACATTAAAAACGTCTCTTGGAACCCCACTGCTGCCGAGCTTGTTGTTGTTGAGCCTCAGAAATGCCATTTTGGGCAAATCTTTGAAGTAACCAGCTGGTATCTTCTCAATGTTGTTGCTATCGAGAAAAAGCTGCGTGGTTGTGGGTGGTAATCCGAGAGGCATGCTACTCAGGTGATTCTTAGCAAGATTAATCTGTACCAAATTGCTGAGACCCTTAAGGCTCACTTCAGTCACAGCATCATCCATAAGCTTATTTCCTTGGAGATCCAGCAGGGTGAGCTTATCAAGTCCAAGAAAGATTCCGGCAGGGATCTTGGAGATACGATTGCGAGAGAGACGTAGATGCTCCAGGCTGGCTGGTAGGGGAGCCGGCACGGAGGACAGGATGTTATCGTCCATGTACAGGTGAGCGAGGTGAGTCATTGCACTCAGGATGCCTTCTTCCACTCCCTCGCTTGTAATTTTGTTACGGTTCAGGTTCAACCAGCGCAGCTGCGTAGCATTCTGCAGGGCGTCTGATGGGAGAGTCTCTATTAGATTGTTCTGCAGATAGAGGTACCATGTATGGGGAGGGATTTTGGGGATGCTCTTGAGGCCTCTATTGTCACAGTAGACAGCACGAGGGAAGTTTGGGGGGCAGTGGCATTCCCGAGGGCAGGCTTGGATCTGGGCCATTAACTCCTCATAAGGCATGTCCTGGTTGACGCTTAGTCCTACCAGGCACAAGATGCAGAGAAGATTCTGGAGAAGGGCCATTTTGATATTGTCTGAAAGAAAGAAGTTAAAGGAATGAGTCAAACTCAACAGAGGAGAATAGCAAAAGCACTAGAACAAGAAAAGAATGACGTATAATCCCAGTGTAAAGTATTTTTGCTAAGAAGTTATGTCCATTCTGACTATCGTGAACCGTCTGTTTTTTTTTTCATCCCGAATCTTTTTTGAAACTCTAATTTACCCTAATTTTCTGAGAGTCCCAAATACTCCTGCTGTAAGGTAAATGACCAACACCACCAATAATACCTTTATCACTCATTTCCAGGGTCAGCTGCCAGGCTGAGGTTGACAGGTTTTTCCTTGTCATTACTTTGCATGTCAAAGGCAGGTTAAAGCTTAAAAGACAGGAAGCAGAGCCAGGTCAAGTTTAATTGCATTGGGCTAGTCTTCATGTCCTGCCGTGAAGCCTGCCATCCTGTTCCACATGCTTTAGTTTGTACGGCTGTACGGCTAAACTGATTATGCCAATGAGCACATTTCCATTCATAGGGATTTCAGATGAGAGAGAGAGTATATGAATCTAAAATAAAACATTACTGATATGACAAGAACAATGGAAAGAGGAAAGAAATCCAGAGTAAGCTCTATCATCTTCTTTCCATCCATTTCAAAAGCTTCTGCTTGATTTCTGTCAGCTGCCATCTGGTGCTTGTTTAAATTCTTGATGCGCTTCATGTCTGCTGGAACTCATTGCATGTATGGCCCTGCTTTTCCTGAGATGGGCGCACTTCAAACACAAACCAAGATCAACTCTTTGCAGAGATGGGCCTGTGCTTACGGAGGGCAGAGCGTCATGACCCTGCGTTAGACTGCAGCATGTGTAGCAAATACTAAAAACGAGATTCCAAACAGCGGTAACACAGCATTAAAATAGTAAGGCAAACAGCAGCTCCCTCCCCTACCATTTAGTCACATCAACATTTATGCCATGATTATGATAAAACAAAGTTAGAATTTCCTCTGCAAAAGTTCTGAAAAATGTCTCGGTCTCCTCTTTGCAGAAGTTCTTCTTACCTTCAGATCTACGAGTGTCCCTTTGCAGAGAACGTCGTCAGAGAGTTATCAGGCGTGGTCTCATTGACAAGGAGGCAAGTGTCATGTCCTGGTATTTGTACCACCGGCCGTTTCATTCAGCGTGTGCCAGCCTGCCACTTAGGTGACACCAAAGCTCCTCTCGGCCAATCAGAATCCTCCACCCACAGAGGTCCTAATCTTCAGGAGGTGTGTAGGTTGCTAAGCCTTTTCAATACTTGAGACCTGGCCCACTTAATGCAGGTGTACCTGTTCTGAGGTGACTGATTTCCACATGTACAACCCTGCCTCTCTCTCTGGCACGATTTAACGCCACCTGAAAATCCGATGTCCTCCGATAACCTTTGTGCTAATTCCAGGCCTCTGTTGCCTCTGCCTCATCAATGTGACCAGCATTAATCATTGCAATTTAGGCAGTCTGACAATGTTTGCAGTTATAGGTGAACAGAAAATTAGTCAGTATATTATTAGTAAAATCATGATGATAAATATGCAAATAGCCTGACTTGAATTTGAAGCAAATGCAGTGAGAGGCCATGTCTGCCAAAACTAAGCAAATCACCACATGATTAAAGTGGGAGGAAAATGATTGCTCTGCTTTTTTTCTTTCATACTTGTTAAATTGTCCAGCTAACAGGAAGTGTAACCATCATAGCTTCATTCATATCTGTTTCTATTTTTGAGGGGCACCTCGGCTCAAGGTGTTTAGGGTCCTGAACTGTTGTTCAGCGCTTCAGATCCAGCATAAAGCACAAAGATGACGCAGTTTAAGTTCCAGATATTTCCTGCAGGCATAAGAGGTAATGGTTTTATGGGAGAGAGGTCAGACTTAAGCTGAGGAGATTTTACTGCAGGTTGGCCACATAAATTGTTTTTGTAGTTGCGAGCCAGCACAGGAATTAGTCCCCTTTAAACAGGCAAGCATGAGCCTGCACTAGTAGCTTGTGATGACGGAAAAGACTTGAAAGCAACAGGATAATCTCTGCTCACTTTGGAGGATAGAAGCCACCTTTGCCTGTAATCAACCGTGCAAGCCCATTAGAACTCCTCCAGTGTATCCCTTGGTGTATTTATGTACACTGATCAATCCTCCACACATGTTTGCAGTCCTGTGGTATCAATTAAACAATCCTGACCCTGGAGTTTTACAAAGCTAATAATCTTTAGGTGAATGGAGACCTTTTTCATCCATATTTTTTCCTCCCTCAAAGTCACTTTTTTGTTATGTTTTTTTTTCTTCGTAATATATTATTGGCTTTTTTAACCTTTGCAAAATTAAATAAAATCTTTTCTGCATGATGCAAGTTCTGTCTGACTGCAGACCTTCATTTGCATACAGCTCAGTCTGCAACACGGAGACAACATGAATTGGACCCTTCGAATTCATTTTCAATCATTATTTCAACTCAGCTGCCTATTATAAATTTCTAATATAAATTTGATATGATGTCAAAAAATGAGCAGTACTGTTTTTTTCAATGTGGGATAAGCTATTATTATATCTGATAAAGATCCAGTCGGGCTGTTTAATTTCTTTAATTTGGTCAGAGTAAAACAGTGTCAAACTCACAACAGAATCATAAATCTTTCAAACCCTTCTCCAAAACAAAAGGATAAGGATGTGAGTTACATCTTCTGCCTAAAATGTTGAGTCAAGGCTTCAATCACTATTAACTGAAAACAAAAGCTGGATACTATTTGCCTGACAGACTAAGAAGAAACACATGCAGAGGCATATGCTAGCACTAATTTCCTGCCAGAGTATTTTTTACTCAGAGCCAACTATTCCAATGACACAACAGCCTGTATTTGCAATGCATGAGTTTGCGGGATTGTCTCCTGTTGTTGGTTTGCAGTTAAGACCCTTCATGACTGAAACGTTAAAGTCAGAGTCTGACAGCTTTAGGTTGATTGAGAACTAAGGGGATTAAATGTTTCTGGGTAATTATCATGTAAGAAACACTGAAAAAACAAGATAACTGGTCAAATAAATTTCTGGGGAGGGCTTGTTTGAAAACAAATCAATAAAGATTGAGAAAACTTTTGCTTTTAAAGTAGCTTCAAACTGACCATAAAAAGGTAACTTTTTTAAGAAAAATATCCCAGGAAAGAGTTTTATGCATTTACTAGTGTGTTGAGGCTGCAAAAGGGAAAGCATATCACAGGTGATCATCGCAGCCAGACGTTATTGAAAATGAATGGCACATTTTGTTTAAGCCTTCACGTTTTTCATTTCTTAAGCAAGCACTATCATTACAGAAAAAAAGAAGTGAATCTTTACCTGTTTCAGTTGTTTGAACAGTCAGCTCACAGCCAGGGGGGGAGTGTGTTACCTCTGATGTGTATCCCAAGTTTCTTTGGCCTTGAATTGCAGAAGCCTTGTCAAGTTAGTCTTACCCTGTTGCCTGATGACACTCTCAAGGCTGTACCTTGTACAGGGGTTGAAAAGAGAAGATGGAGCCTTTGTTGTTGGTGGGAGGATGAATGTGTGTGAGTAGGGATGTCCCTTCAGAGATTGTGTCACATGCGTTTCTGCCTGCCCAGCATTTTCTTTCCCACTACTGTTGTTTCACAATGCACCCACTCAATTTAACCACTTGGTCCCTCATGCAGGTTATGCTCTCCACCCATGACTCTTGGGGGAGAGTGCACGACTACTTTATGGCTCATTTCAGCTCACGGGCCTTGGGGTGTGTGACCTTGCTCACAGGTGATGTTACAGAGGATCCAAATGTTTTCTTTTGTTTTTTTAACCAGCATTCCCTCTACATATTTCAGTGAAACATTCCATCATTTTACAACCAAAGGCAAATTTTTTGTTTTTTTTTACCCCTGTGTCTGTCAGTGAGGACAGCGTGAAGCTTTGGTGCCTTTAAGTAATTCAGGACTTTATTCACAGGAGTAAAAGTTTGTTGATAAACAAAATGAAAAATCATACTGAGCTATATCACCAAATATTGGATAACTTAAAAATAAACCTTCTAAACAAGACTTTTATAAAGAAAAAAAGATTGCAATAGTTATTCATCATTGGTACAAATTATATTTTTATTTGGTTTGTTTTACATAGAGGGGAGTACGTGCCTACAATCAGATAGGAGCAACAATAACTAAGTTTGAACACTTCTTTCAGAGGAGCTTCTCTAATTTTTTTGCATAGCTAAGTCCAGTGACTTTTTCCTGTTTTTCTTTTATTTTAAAGAGAACTCTAAAGTCAAACAAATGCCTAACAAATTGTTCTCTTATACACCAACCACATGTGGCCTAAAGCTGAGTTTGTCACCCAAAACAATTATAAGGTATTTGTCCTGTTTGATTGACTTGTTGGTCTTATCTCATTGGACTATATAATTGACTTATACAAAGATGCTGCCATTTATTATTGTATAAAACAAATTAATGTGGTAAGAGTACTCCTCTGTGTTGATCCAGCAGAATACTTATCACCCACTTCTTTCAATTGAAATATTTACAACTCACTGATGAATCCACTGTCATATATCTAAAAATGGTGAGGCTTGACATATTTATAAGCTGATTAAAAACAATGGAAAAAGGCTTTGTTCCATCCAGGTGAAAATGTGCCATTAGCATTATCAGCACCACTTTCTACAGTGGTTCTATGTAAACTTCATCATCCCCTCAAATCCCCTCAAATCCCTCCTGGAGACATTGTGAAGGTTATAGTTTCAGGAAACTACATTCTAAAGTTTAACATTTCCATCTGAAACAATGAAGTGAAAAATATAAAAAAAAGAGTGTAGAAAAGATGGAATTGATGTCGGAAAATGAACAGAAACTCTGAACTCAGAGGAAATGTGCTGTGAGAAGTCAGACAGCAGATCAGAGCGATGATGGATAGGCACAGCATGTGAGCACAAACAAAGAGAGCAGCTGGAGATGGTCTGGACTGGACGAAGATCTTTGGAGCTCCGCCGGCAGGCCGCAACAGCTGATTGTACTTTCACACATCGTCTCAAGTGAGAAGATTTGAAGCTTACGGCTTTAAACAGGGCTTTATTGTCTAGACGCAAGAAGCAAGAGCTCCACTCTGAAGATTTAAATTAGGGCAAGACCAGAGGAAGAGGAGGAAATTGTCCCAGATTGGGAAGCAGTATAAGTTCCCGTATAAAAACATGTAATGGCTGGTGAAGCAAGCATGTTCGGAGTTGTAACAGTGGTGCCAGTGAGTAGACTGCTGATACTTTTTCATCCTAATTGGTGTTAGGTTTACAAAGGTAACAGATAAAATAGGCTTTGGAGCACTCCAGTGCTTGAAGGTAGAACAAAGTGTGATTGTGGTACATCTTAGGAGACCAACTGCTGCAGATTGGCCTTCTCAGAAGTGGGTCAAATGTAGTTTCAACTGACATCTACTGTTGTATCACTTTACAAACAGGAATGAAACTGGCCATCTGGAATCATTTTACATATATTCAACAAAAGCCACTAATGATCACCTAAGAAAATGTGTTGAAATAGAGATTGATCTAAAAAAAGGAAGAGAAAAAAAAAAGAAAGGAGTGGTTCCAGCACACATGGTCCATATCATTTTGGAGAATCTGTGTACTTAAAACTGCCTTATGATAGAACCACTGAACGTGTCAAAGGAATTGACACAGCATTTTTAAGATCCAAGACAGTGTTTATGAGCAGCAACCATTATTCTGGATAAGATGCAGCATTTTTAATGACTTTAACTAGAGTAAAGCCCTATTTCATGCAAACTATCTCATGATAACTGATTATCAAACCCTATATGAAGCAGGCTAAGATTTTGCTTTAAGCAGAAAAACAGACACGTTAATCCCATTAGTTTGTCCACTGGGAGTTTTCACAGCATGTTGTGCCACAGACTGCTGCTTTAAATGGCCTTGGGCTCCATAGTCCCTTTTGAGCTGTTTATTTGTGCTGAATTCTCAAAGCTGGCGCTTAACCTGGCAAAATTACCATGGTAACTTGGACTGAATTTATAACCTGCCCCAGAAACAGTAAATTTTCAGAGCTTCAGATTAAGCTGCCATTTGTGCTCAAACCCACTCACAGGGTCAATTTAGGCTCACCAATTGACATGAGGTTTTAAGACTATAGGAGAGGGACAGATGACCAGAAAAGCTTTCGTGTTTAGTTTACTAGAACACTCAAGAGAACTTGTCCATCTGTGAAGTCATTTATTGAATCAACACATATGGAAAGTAAAATTGTGACTTTTCTTAATGTCATAACTCCAAAAAAGAACAACACTCTGATATACTTTAGTGTCAAGGAATTTAATTATAGACAGTTTATGATAGGACTGGATGTTTTCTTAGCTACAATCCAGAAAAGCCATTGTTGCCAGGTTGATTATTACAAGATTTGTTTCTTAATAGGATTTGTGTGGAAAAAAAACACAAAACTGTCAAATGCAGTTTACTTGCTGCCAAAGAAGGAACCATAACATGCTTCAAAAATGACATTGAACAAATATTTTGGAAACATAGTTTATTCAGCTGTGTTTGGCTTTTTCACGCCGAATCAGAGAACAGTTGGCAAGTAAAAACACCTAAAATAAAAAATGACCTAAACTAAATGTGATAATCTAATATCATCTATAAACGATTCAATCAACATGGCAATGGAGCCAAGTTGATGTAATGCTGCATGAAGCATTTCTCTCTCAGCGTTACTATGAAAGCACCTTAACTGCAAAAGCTGTACATTATTATCAAAAAATGGAAACTTAGGTGCATGCAAGGATTGAAAATTGTTTGTGTACAAGTCAGTTATATGCAAGAAAACAGTGGGAGGGGAGGCTGATGATGTGCTTCGGTTTTTATCTTATTGAAAATTGAAGTCTGTGAGCCATCATGAGTGACACCATTGAATGTAATGGTGGCAGGCATGAACTCACACTGTGAAACGTCTATCATACATTTAGCTCCGATTACACTCTAAAATCTGTTGCTGTTGTCTGCTGGCCCTTCGCTCAGCAGTTGGTTAATAAGAGTGGTTAAGCATGCTATACACTGGGAACATACAAGACAAACAACAAAATGACACTATGACTGGATTATGATACAGGAGAGCTAGATCTAATTTTTTCTTTACACCAAACTGTATGCCTTTGGTGAACTCCAAAGCAAATTTGGAATGTTTCAAGTGTGTGTTTTTTCCTTACTTTTTTCTTCTCAGTAATTGTAACGTGCACTTGTGCATTTTCACAAACTTTCCATTTGCTTTTATACTGCTTTACACTACCAAATACAAGGAGCAGTTATTTGGAGTGCTCATTTGAATGTGTAAATGGTTTTATTCTGATGAATACATCACAGACAGGGCAAACAAAAGTAGACTTTTAAATCCAAAAGGCTTTTGGCTGTGTCACGGCAGTAGGTAGCAGAGTTTCGGATGTCTCGGAGGTTCTCATTCAAACATGACATCCATAGCTTGGCGCAGACAGTTGGCAGTTTCGGGGGGCATGCTGCTTTGTGTGATGTTGTTGGCGTCCAGACGAAGATGTTTCAGACGAGAGTAGTTGAGGGGTCCAACGAACTTGCAGATACTTGAAAGGTCAAACTCTGTAGATCAAAGAGGACAGTGATTATTCTCCCAAAATGTGAACATCGATCATTTCTATGATCTTGGAATACTTTAAACCACAGCAGCATAGTGCATTTACATAAAGGATTTTTGTGGCCTGACACCACAAACTTTGTTAGAATGTCACAATACTGCTCTGAAAGATACTAAAAGCGTGGCGATAGGCAAAAAAGCATCTCTGGACTAAAGTAAAATGTCCCATTTCTGGTTTGGACATCAAACTGTTAAATTACTTTTCAAATGTTTACACCCTTATGGAGCAGAACAACGTCAATACCCCCAAATCTTACAACATTTTTCTTTTTCTTTGTTTGTACTTGCAGCATTCATGGGAATGTGGAACATTTTTAATATAATGTAATCTGTGTTTAACGGTGGGATAGATTTAAACCAACAGCACTCCTCTTTGGGAAGGCTACAGTCCTAAACATTGAAAAATGACCACTCACTATTGATGTCATTGGCTTGCAGGTAGAGCTGCTCCAGCTGCTCATTGATTTCGGGAATAGACTGCAGCTTGTTGAAAGAGAGGTCCAGCTCCAAAAGTGATGTCACATTGAAGACTCCAGCAGGGATGCCGGAGTCCACCAGCTTGTTGTGAGAGATCCTCAGGTACCGAAGTGAAGGCAGTTTGTTCAGGTATCCTGCACTGACGCCTTCTATCTCATTGTAGTCAGCATAGAGGATTTCCAGAGAACTGGGGATTCCAGTTGGCAGCTTCTTCAGCTTGTTATGGCTTACATCCAGGGACAGCAGAGCCTTTGACCCCTTGAAAGCGCCTGCAATGCTATCGGAGGTTAATTCATTGTGCTGCAGGTTGACAGAGGTCAAATTCTCCTTATCGCTCAAGAGTCCAGAGGGAAACTTGGACAACTTGTTGTTCGTCATTTTCAGCTCCTCAAGGACCTTTGAGGGAGGAATAACGGGCTCTGTAAGGTTGTTGGAGCTGAAGTAAAATTTCTCTAGTCCATTTAGTTTGTCAATTGTGCCTTTGTCAATCTTGGCATTAGTGATGTGGTTGTTGTCAAGTATCAGCCAGCGCAGGGTATCAGTGACATTATCAAACACTCCTGCCTTGATCTCTTCAATCAAGTTGTTCTGCAGGTAAAGGTACTTGATCCCTGTTGGAACTACAGGGACAAATTTAAGCTTGCGGCTATCACAATACATGGCACTAGGGAAATGGATAGGGCAGTCGCACTCTTGATTACAGTTTGGCCCAGATGGTCCCAGCATGGAAACAGGCCGGTAGTCGTAGTCATAATACTGGCAAAAGGCTAGGCTGAACAGTGCAGCCAAGAGGGGTACACGGAGAGGAATCATGGCTTCTCTGGATAAGAAAAATACAGATGACAAAAGCAACAAGTTAAACTCGTAGACTTTTACAGCAGAACAACTTCATTATCACTGAAGGTTTAACGACAAAAAAGTAAAACAAAGCTGTAACGTGACAGTAGAAAGTGAAAGGCCTGCCTACCAACACAATCACCACACCCTCTCTTCAGTGAGTTTTATAATCAGTCAAGAGTTCATGAAAACCTAATGGAAACCAATGAGTCCAGATTTTAATCATGTCTGACTTTACAGCTCCTGAATCAATCAAACTGCTTAACAGATCTTTAAATAGCAATCAAAACAATATTATATATGTTCCCATTGTACAGTAAATACTTCCTTATTATTTTGTTTAATGAACTATTTATATGTAAAAAGATCTGATATATAAAAAGACTGACACCTGAACTGATTAGATTAGGATAATTGTGCAAATTCAAGCCTGCAGCAAACGCTGCTCCTTGCTGATTAACTCCAGATCCGTGAAAAGTGCGAGGACAGACTGGATCCAAGACTGACAGGATTTCTTCCAGTCATAAAATAAAATTGCACTTCTGCATAAAACTGTCGTGACAGATCTGTCTAGGCAAGCTACCAAAATGTAAATTCTTAAATGTAGGACCATGCACTCATTTGTCTTCAGTGCACATATACTTTTGGTTTCTCCACAACAGCACCAGCCCATCCTTAAAGCCCAGTTGCTCCATCCAGAAAACAGAGTAAAAGATGAATAATTAAACAGGAAATCTCAGAACCATGCAAGCTTACCTGTGCTTCTCTCTCTTCGTGTGCGTGGGGTGGAGGGTCAGGAGGTAAGAACAGTGTGGTGTTCAAAAACTGGAAATCTCTGGAGAAAAACAGAAGGAAAGAGGGGGAGGAGAGAAAGGGGTTGATGGAGAAACAAAAGGGGAAAGGGGAGGGAAGGAGAAAAAGGGGTAGGATGGCAGGCTTAAAAACAGAATTCAAGATGTCATCTGTACAAATGTCTAGATATCCTTGCCAAAAACGGCTACTGGCTAAAAAGTGCAGGTGCAACAAAGAATGGGGTATATTTCAGAGTATCTTCTGTTAAGTCTACTTGTCATCCTGACAGGCAGTTTCTTCTTCTTTAGTCTGGTCACTCACTGAACACTGAACACTCCAGCGGGGATCCGGAGTCCAGCAGCCTGTAGTGAGAGCTCCTCAGGTATGGAAATAAAGGCAGTGTGTACAGGTATACCCCCTCCCCCTCTGCCCCCCGCTCCCAAATTCATCTGCAAAATCATCTGACAGTGAGTGGAAGCAAAGCCTCAGCTTGAAATTGGGAAGAATGTGCTTGGAAAAATGTGGGACGTTATGTGGAAAATATGTGAAAATCTTTGGCAGCCATTTAACCCAGACGCCGGTTTTTAAAGAAGAATAAATTAACTGAAAATCGGACTTTGGAAAATCTGACAAAAAAGGCTATAAAAGCAGCCCCTTGCATAATACTTGCCACAAACATTTCTCCTCCGCTGTTTTTGACCAGAAAGAAAGCAGACACTAATTGGTTGAATAAAATCCAACACATCCCATATGTCTGTTTTAGAAATCATTCTTTTCTTTGCTGTACCTTTTTAAAAATATATATTCTTATTATTCTAAAAAGCCCCACAATCTGAAATTTCAAGATCCACAAGTCCTCAATAGATATTTCGTATGTTTTTTTTACAGATAAAGAAGAACAGGAGACATCTTGTTGGTGGACGTCCATCACCACATGTGGACACCCTGGAAGTGGCACCTGGATTTGATTGGTCGTAGTGTGCTCTGGTACTCCACTTGCATACCATTCTCAGACACACTTCTCATCATAGGGAAAAGTTTGATAACATAAATCGCACATGGAAAAGTAACTTATCTGTATTTGCAGATAATTTTTAACTTCTATTTGAGGTGTTGTTACCATGAAGTTCAAGATGTCACACATTTTACAGTTGATGTATTTTATTCTTTTTTGAGGGGGAACACGCTTTTTTATTTACAAATAATGTATGAAGTATTCCAGCTTTTAAAGAAATATGTGTTGATCTTTGAGGTTTATGCATCCAAAGAGTTAAAAAATAGAATTGGATCCATATCATTCACACAGGGCCATTTACTTTTTCGAAGGATTTCATTCTGGCGCAATAAAACTTTTTTTAAAAATCTGTAGCAAAATAAAAAGTTCTAATCTTTATATATTTTAATACATTCTAAGGAAATAAGGCACCATGGGCCAGGTCAAGATGCTGGGCATTCCCCATGTATGGAGATTCTGTTTAGACCACAAAAAGAAGAAAAAGCCCACATGGGCATTTGGGTTTAAAACTGTGAGGATGAAAAGAAACAGTTTTTCAGTTGAGTAGATGCAACCTCTCAAAGCATCCATAAAGAGAAGGTAAACAAGGTTTGATGCTTTTGTATTGAAGAACTCATTCTTTTTTTAATTTCCCAAAGATCTCATGCACCTCAAATCATACCCTTTCATTATGTCTTTGTCTTCTATTTGGATTTCTGTGGGCATTCTTTTCTCTGAGTCATTTCTCTGTAACTTTGAACATTGGCTTTTCTGTTACAGATGCAAACTTCAGTAAGCAACTATGCTAATGTTTATACATCTGCAGACTTATTTAGGAAAAGAAACTTTATGATCTGGTCAATGGTCCACTGATTACGACAATGTGCTTGTGGCAATAAACTTCTCTGTGCTTATCTAGAAGTGTAACTTGCTGTTGCAGTGATTTGACTGCAGTTACAAACAGCCCAAAGGCTTTGTGAGTAATTAGTAGTCTAGGAATGTAAATTGCCCCTCACCCCACCCCCCCAAGGTATCGCTAAACACACATACACTTTTTATAATGTACCAAACACTATCTTAATTACACAGTAGGCATGCATGTGCAACCTGTTTCCACTTAGTAGGTGTACATGGTGGAGCTTTGTGTCTTACGTCTGTTTGTCTGCATTTGGTTGGGGGTGTTGACCTGATTTCATCGTTACCTCCACCTGTGGCTGATCCAGTGTCTCCTGCTCGTTTCTCTACCAGTGCTGTGACCAGCTTTTTCAGAAAACCGACAAACCACATCTCTACTGGACAGGGGCAAACCACTGTACACAGCTGCTGAGAGTGTCTTCTCCAACCTGGAGATTCAACGTTATTCCACCCCTTTCATTAACTTTTCAGTATGAATCCAGGAGCACGACAAAGGAAAGGAAAAAATCCAAATTTCCGAACGACCCTTTCTTCTCAATAAAGAAATGGACATACCGATGGACAAACTATAACGAAGGATACTGTTATTTTTCTATCTTAGAAGCACTCTAAAGCCACATTGAGATTTCTATTTTATTAATTCAGTGTGTGTTGGCGCGTGGACCCTCTAAAAGATATGGCAGCTAGATGACCATTCAGTTCTCGCTCATTGACTACTGGGTTAGGCCCAAGTCCCCCCGCGACCCCATTAGGGAACTAGTGGTTAAGAAAATGGATGGATGCATGACCCTTTGGTTGTTCTCAGCTCACACAAAACTTGATAGTATGTTAAAACGCTTTGGTGTTTTCTGTGTCTTCCATCCCCAGTGGGTTTGCTCAACCTCTGGAGATGCATTTACCTTTCAGCAACAACGCTGCATATTATGCGTTTCTGATTAGCCTGAGAGCTAAATGTCCTAGCTAACTGTGTCATGTGCACCTGGTGTCATATTACCAGGCGGTTTGCTGGGATGTCTTAGAAAAAACTGGACACTTACTTGAGACTAGAAACCTTAAATCATCAGGCACTGCTTGTTAATATTACATGAGACCATTTTTGCAAGAGTAATATTGATATTTCACTGCAGGAAAACCACAGAGGGAGCCACTAATATTTTGACTGGCTCCTTTTCATTTTGTGCTCCAGGAAGGCTCTTCTGGGAGAAAACAGGCAATAAAGAAAACTTTAACCTGGTTCATTAAACAGAATACGCTGACAATTGATGTTTTAAGGTAACTGTCTATGCCTGTCGATATTTTCTGGGGTGTGCTATTTTTCTCTCTCCAAAAAAGCATTTTGACTGCTAATGGAAACTGATTTGATTGGACCACAACAGTAAACTTGTATGCCAGGAAAACCAAACAACAAGCCTGACAATGCTGACATGCCCCACAGCTGTAAAAAGCTGCTTTAGGAGTTACAAAATACGTTTGATTTTATTATAAGTAATTGCATTATTAAAAGTAAATAATCTGTTGCTCTGAAATCTCGCATAGAAACCACTGCAAGTGCACAGATGTTAGGATTAGCTCTCAGTTGTTTGAAACAAACCTGTGCTTAAGAAAGTTTGACATTTGTGTATACTTCTGCAATAAATGGCTTGACGTGTGTATTTTTCCTCGAGTCTGCAGCTTTACCACTGTTCCCTGCTGTGGTTTGGGTAAATGAAGACTCACACTTTTTCCAGACTGTCCTGTTTAGTTGAGACTGAAACAGACATTTTGTCATTTTGGTTTGTAACTGTGCTTATTTTGTGAGTGTGTTCTTTACCTCTATGTTCTCATGTCCTTTTCCAGTCAACCAGATGGTGGACGCTGGCTTTCAAAACTCTTTTCCTAGTACTCTGTTGTCACTAAAATGTTACTTGTATAATTCTTACGCAATTGTGTCATGTAAGGTTTTTTTTTTTTTGCTTTTATTGTTGTTCTCTTTTGTGACCTGCTACCAGAGATAATAGAAAACTGGATTAAATGAGTAATGCTTGTTTACAGTTTTCTGTATGTTTCACTACAAAGCCTTGAAATAAAGCCTTGTATTTAATCTGCTTTTAATTTGTATTTATTCATGTTAAATCAATAAAGATGTCATTCTGAATGTCATGTCATCTTTTGCCCTTACATTCACCTGTCTGGTTAAATGTATTTTCCATTACACATAATCTAACCTTCTCTTAACAGTTTTTCTCCTATCTCAGTTAAATAGATTTGCAAAAATATTGCCTTGGAAATACTTTGGAACAACTCTGGTTAAATAGTCAACAATTCTCTCTCCAATACTCTTTTCCTAAACCTTTTTCCTTAATTTTGATGTAAAACCTGATGAAGTTAAAGGAAAATGATAAAAAGAATTTTGAAAAGAAAACAATGTTCGAGACAAATAAATCATTACAGTATCAAATATAAAAATGATTGGACTTATATAAACAATTTTCTATCCATTCATAGTCGACTGTGTCTGACATAAAGGGGAGGAGCCTTTTGAAAAATGGAAATTGTCTTGGAAATATATCTTCTATCCATGGTCGTGTTTTATTTATTTATATCATTAACCACAATGACGCTGTTTGAAAATGATCTTGCCGTGGTGGCTGTAAGACACAGACCTTCCTGGCATCAGTGTTTTGCCATTTGTCAGTCAACTAATTTATGATCAGTTTAGCTAAACCAAAACGCATCGACTTGTTGGGTTGGATCAACATGATATGTGATATTCTTACTACAGATGAGCACTAGCTAACAGTTTTCCACAGTACCACAATGTAATTCAAATGTAATTTCTTAAAGCAGCACAGCACATTTTTAAAAACAAGCAAAAACCAAGAACAAAACCCAAGCTGAAACACAAACTTAATCATTGCTTCTTGTTTGGTGTACTGATCTGATGTCAACTCAATAATAATTAGGTTTCCCTTTAACACATTAGCCTTAAAAGGATTGTAATGTTACCCTTAGGAAACTCATTAGGCATTCCTAACTCTAAAAATCTGTTATATGTGTGTGTTTGATGAGACAAAGGACAATGTGCTGTGGTTTAGAATGATTAGAATTTGCATATTTCATTTTTGGTAATCACCTCACACCTGTTAGGCCAAACTGGAAAGCCTGAGGGTTTGAGGATAACAGCACTTAAGATTGATGAATACATGGTGTTGATATAAACTGGTTTAAAATGATCAATCCTTGGGATGAAACAATTGTACCAGAGTGTGTTATATCAGAAATACACATTTGAAATTTTGGTTTTTATTGCAGCTGGGGCTTCAGTGGAAGAAAAATTGGAGGACACCTTTTTGAAAACATTAAAGATATTTGATTAACATGCATGGTCAAGCAGGTTTTTGTTTCATACACTTTGACATAATTTCTTTAAACTGCTGCTGAATATATTAAACCTAAG